TTAAGCTTTCAAATACAAACATTAGACATAGAGTAAAGACAATGTTTATTAGAATGGTTGCAAATTTGAATTAAGCTTTCAAATACAAACATTAGACATAGAGTAAAGACAATGTTTATTAGAATGGTTGCAAATTTGAATTAAGCTTTCAAATACAAACATTAGACATAGAGTAAAGACAATGTTTATTAGAATGGTTGCAAATTTGAATTAAGCTTTCAAATACAAACATTAGACATAGAGTAAAGACAATGTTTATTAGAATGGTTGCAAATTTGAATTAAGCTTTCAAATACAAACATTAGACATAGAGTAAAGACAATGTTTATTAGAATGGTTGCAAATTTGAATTAAGCTTTCAAATACAAACATTAGACATAGAGTAAAGACAATGTTTATTAGAATGGTTGCAAATTTGAATTAAGCTTTCAAATACAAACATTAGACATAGAGTAAAGACAATGTTTAATAGAATGGTTGCAAATTTGAATTAAGCTTTCAAATACAAACATTAGACATAGAGTAAAGACAATGTTTATTAGAATGGTTGCAAATTTGAATTAAGCTTTCAAATACAAACATTAGACATAGAGTAAAGACAATGTTTATTAGAATGGTTGCAAATTTGAATTAAGCTTTCAAATACAAACATTAGACATAGAGTAAAGACAATGTTTATTAGAATGGTTGCAAATTTGAATTAAGCTTTCAAATACAAACATTAGACATAGAGTAAAGACAATGTTTATTAGAATGGTTGCAAATTTGAATTAAGCTTTCAAATACAAACATTAGACATAGAGTAAAGACAATGTTTATTAGAATGGTTGCAAATTTGAATTAAGCTTTCAAATACAAACATTAGACATAGAGTAAAGACAATGTTTATTAGAATGGTTGCAAATTTGAATTAAGCTTTCAAATACAAACATTAGACATAGAGTAAAGACAATGTTTATTAGAATGGTTGCAAATTTGAATTAAGCTTTCAAATACAAACATTAGACATAGAGTAAAGACAATGTTTATTAGAATGGTTGCAAATTTGAATTAAGCTTTCAAATACAAACATTAGACATAGAGTAAAGACAATGTTTATTAGAATGGTTGCAAATTTGAATTAAGCTTTCAAATACAAACATTAGACATAGAGTAAAGACAATGTTTATTAGAATGGTTGCAAATTTGAATTAAGCTTTCAAATACAAACATTAGACATAGAGTAAAGACAATGTTTATTAGAATGGTTGCAAATTTGAATTAAGCTTTCAAATACAAACATTAGACATAGAGTAAAGACAATGTTTATTAGAATGGTTGCAAATTTGAATTAAGCTTTCAAATACAAACATTAGACATAGAGTAAAGACAATGTTTATTAGAATGGTTGCAAATTTGAATTAAGCTTTCAAATACAAACATTAGACATAGAGTAAAGACAATGTTTATTAGAATGGTTGCAAATTTGAATTAAGCTTTCAAATACAAACATTAGACATAGAGTAAAGACAATGTTTATTAGAATGGTTGCAAATTTGAATTAAGCTTTCAAATACAAACATTAGACATAGAGTAAAGACAATGTTTATTAGAATGGTTGCAAATTTGAATTAAGCTTTCAAATACAAACATTAGACATAGAGTAAAGACAATGTTTATTAGAATGGTTGCAAATTTGAATTAAGCTTTCAAATACAAACATTAGACATAGAGTAAAGACAATGTTTATTAGAATGGTTGCAAATTTGAATTAAGCTTTCAAATACAAACATTAGACATAGAGTAAAGACAATGTTTATTAGAATGGTTGCAAATTTGAATTAAGCTTTCAAATACAAACATTAGACATAGAGTAAAGACAATGTTTATTAGAATGGTTGCAAATTTGAATTAAGCTTTCAAATACAAACATTAGACATAGAGTAAAGACAATGTTTATTAGAATGGTTGCAAATTTGAATTAAGCTTTCAAATACAAACATTAGACATAGAGTAAAGACAATGTTTATTAGAATGGTTGCAAATTTGAATTAAGCTTTCAAATACAAACATTAGACATAGAGTAAAGACAATGTTTATTAGAATGGTTGCAAATTTGAATTAAGCTTTCAAATACAAACATTAGACATAGAGTAAAGACAATGTTTATTAGAATGGTTGCAAATTTGAATTAAGCTTTCAAATACAAACATTAGACATAGAGTAAAGACAATGTTTAATAGAATGGTTGCAAATTTGAATTAAGCTTTCAAATACAAACATTAGACATAGAGTAAAGACAATGTTTATTAGAATGGTTGCAAATTTGAATTAAGCTTTCAAATACAAACATTAGACATAGAGTAAAGACAATGTTTAATAGAATGGTTGCAAATTTGAATTAAGCTTTCAAATACAAACATTAGACATAGAGTAAAGACAATGTTTATTAGAATGGTTGCAAATTTGAATTAAGCTTTCAAATACAAACATTAGACATAGAGTAAAGACAATGTTTATTAGAATGGTTGCAAATTTGAATTAAGCTTTCAAATACAAACATTAGACATAGAGTAAAGACAATGTTTATTAGAATGGTTGCAAATTTGAATTAAGCTTTCAAATACAAACATTAGACATAGAGTAAAGATAATGTTTATTAGAATGGTTGCAAATTTGAATTAAGCTTTCAAATACAAACATTAGACATAGAGTAAAGACAATGTTTATTAGAATGGTTGCAAATTTGAATTAAGCTTTCAAATACAAACATTAGACATAGAGTAAAGACAATGTTTATTAGAATGGTTGCAAATTTGAATTAAGCTTTCAAATACAAACATTAGACATAGAGTAAAGATAATGTTTATTAGAATGGTTGCAAATTTGAATTAAGCTTTCAAATACAAACATTAGACATAGAGTAAAGATAATGTTTATTAGAATGGTTGCAAATTTGAATTAAGCTTTCAAATACAAACATTAGACATAGAGTAAAGATAATGTTTATTAGAATGTTTGCAAATTTGAATTAAGCTTTCAAATACAAACATGAGCATAGAGTAAAGATAATGTTTATTAGAATGGTTGCAAATTTGAATTAAGCTTTCAAATACAAACATTAGACATAGAGTAAAGACAATGTTTATTAGAATGGTTGCAAATTTGAATTAAGCTTTCAAATACAAACATTAGACATAGAGTAAAGACAATGTTTATTAGAATGGTTGCAAATTTGAATTAAGCTTTCAAATACAAACATTAGACATAGAGTAAAGACAATGTTTATTAGAATGGTTGCAAATTTGAATTAAGCTTTCAAATACAAACATTAGACATAGAGTAAAGACAATGTTTATTAGAATGGTTGCAAATTTGAATTAAGCTTTCAAATACAAACATTAGACATAGAGTAAAGACTATGTTTAATAGAATGGTTGCAAATTTGAATTAAGCTTTCAAATACAAACATTAGACATAGAGTAAAGACAATGTTTATTAGAATGGTTGCAAATTTGAATTAAGCTTTCAAATACAAACATTAGACATAGAGTAAAGACAATGTTTAATAGAATGGTTGCAAATTTGAATTAAGCTTTCAAATACAAACATTAGACATAGAGTAAAGACAATGTTTATTAGAATGGTTGCAAATTTGAATTAAGCTTTCAAATACAAACATTAGACATAGAGTAAAGACAATGTTTATTAGAATGGTTGCAAATTTGAATTAAGCTTTCAAATACAAACATTAGACATAGAGTAAAGACAATGTTTATTAGAATGGTTGCAAATTTGAATTAAGCTTTCAAATACAAACATGAGCATAGAGTAAAGATAATGTTTATTAGAATGGTTGCAAATTTGAATTAAGCTTTCAAATACAAACATTAGACATAGAGTAAAGACAATGTTTAATAGAATGGTTGCAAATTTGAATTAAGCTTTCAAATACAAACATTAGACATAGAGTAAAGACAATGTTTATTAGAATGGTTGCAAATTTGAATTAAGCTTTCAAATACAAACATTAGACATAGAGTAAAGACAATGTTTATTAGAATGGTTGCAAATTTGAATTAAGCTTTCAAATACAAACATTAGACATAGAGTAAAGACAATGTTTATTAGAATGGTTGCAAATTTGAATTAAGCTTTCAAATACAAACATGAGCATAGAGTAAAGATAATGTTTATTAGAATGGTTGCAAATTTGAATTAAGCTTTCAAATACAAACATTAGACATAGAGTAAAGACAATGTTTATTAGAATGGTTGCAAATTTGAATTAAGCTTTCAAATACAAACATTAGACATAGAGTAAAGATAATGTTTATTAGAATGGTTGCAAATTTGAATTAAGCTTTCAAATACAACCATTAGACATAGAGTAAAGATAATGTTTATTAGAATGGTTGCAAATTTGAATTAAGCTTTCAAATACAAACATTAGACATAGAGTAAAGATAATGTTTATTAGAATGGTTGCAAATTTGAATTAAGCTTTCAAATACAACCATTAGACATAGAGTAAAGATAATGTTTATTAGAATGGTTGCAAATTTGAATTAAGCTTTCAAATACAAACATTAGACATAGAATAAAGACAATGTTTATTAGAATGTTTGCAAATTTGAATTAAGCTTTCAAATACAAACATTAGACATAGAATAAAGACAATGTTTATTAGAATGGTTGCAAATTTGAATTAATACAAACGCAAAATTAAGTTATACAGGATCTGTCCTGAAAAACCCAAATGTGATAATTAAATATTTAAAATTTCCCATAGAAATAACATTGCTTTTAATAAAAATTGAAAATGCAATTCATTTTTAGATTTGAATTAATATATGGTTGTTGATGAAAAGTGTCAGAAATACAAACAGAACTATTATCTTAAATTGTTATCTTGATTTACTGTGCAAATAAAAAACAATTTATAAAACAAATTATTTAAAAATCATTACTGGTTAATCAATCGTCTCTTTTTATTAATAATTTTTTTAATGACAATTAATAAATTACAAATTATTTCAAGTACTGTATAATAACAGTATTAAATTTTGTTTGATGCAAATGAAACTGCAATACATTTTTTTATTAAATATGTGTTTAATTATTCAATATATTTATATAGTAATCAATTAAGGAACCACTTTATTGAAGAGTGTGTCCTTTACTATCTGTGACATCAATCCATGAATAGCTTCGATGGTTGTCTTACAGCTATCTTTGGCCGCCTTCGACAGCTTATCTTCTGTACGCTTTTCGTGCGGATCGAGTCCTAACATAAAACCTCCGCGACCTAACTGGGTCTCCGAGTGCTCCAATTTGTCGGATAAGTCAAATATCTGGCCAGTCGTGTAGTCAGTGTTCTGTATATAAATAATGAAAATGTTATCAAAAAAGTACGGTAAGTGTTAGACAACAATACATACAGTGAGAAGACTGGATGAGCTGAGTGTATGCACCCAATACTTGTCCCACAATGAGTCGAGTAAACGGTGATCCAGTGATGACTTAAAGTACGTTACGTCCAGCGAATAGTATTGCTTACAATGGACACCGAAATCTTCGATTTTATTCAGAGGAATAGTCTGGTATTCGGATGGGCCCTCATCAGGAGGTTTATACCCCTTGGGATACGTTCGAAAGGCACCCAAATTGACTTTACCGGCACTGATAGTACGGGTCGGATCTATCACTATAGCTACGAATGGCTCCTGAAATTGTTGGTTAAGCATCTGAGTGGACACATCGATACCCGACAGCCAACAACCGTAGCCGGGATGCGAGTGATACCAACCGATAACATTTTCAAGTCGGCCAACTTGTTTGGCCGATTCGGTATAGGCAGCCATATATTCGTAGGCCTGTGCCTGAGCATTGACACGGGTTTCGGTACCTTCGACGGGCAGTGCAAACGAATCCATTGCAATCATAGTGTTGGCATCAACTTTGCCCAATAGTAGACCCATTACTTCCAGTGTACCGCCACTACGGGCATGCATTACCATCTTCAACAGTGCCAGTGCACTGACGCGAATGTCTTTGAAATAATGTGGACTAGAAATTGGTGACAAAAAAAACAAATAAATCAATACATTTAATGATCAATTAGTTGATGATAATGACAACACAATGATTCAGAAGACATACTCCTTTTCCCAGGGTTTAGCCGTAAGTATGTCCTGTTGTTGTTTGCGATTGTATTTATAGATATCGTCGACACTCTGTACGGTCTCAACGCTGTTAGACATTTCCCAATTGGTTTGTGCCATCTTTGAGCCCATCTTTTCAATTGGTCCGACAATCGGATGGGATGTTGTTATTGATTGTCTCTCACAATAATTGTCTTCACTTAACTGAATACAATTGGCCACAAATATTGACTTCAGTTACTAAATTGATCCAAAAAAAAAAACACATTAAACAGTGAGCTATTAGTAAATGAATGAATGAATGAGTGGACAAACAGACAGACAAACAAACAAAAACAGACTGTTTTGTTTCACGAGTCTACCGGTGCTTACGATGCCATCCAGTGGTGATGATTGTCATCAGCGCCAGTAGTTGTGTGTGTTGTCAATAGCTGTACAGTATGTGTGGTATTATTACTGTATTATTATTATTATTGAGTGAATGCTGTGTCAGTCAGTCAGTCATTCAGAGAGTGAGCACTAGTAGTACACACACACACACACACACACTGTAGTGTATTGACGGCACAGTTTGTATTTATGTGTATATATGTGTGACTGACTGCCTGTTCAACAGTACAGTTGACATCTCCCGCAGCTAATAAAAGGTTTGTTTGTTTTGATTTTGTTGTTATTTTTAATTGTTGTTATCCACCAACTGATCCACTTTTTTGTTGTTGGTCTTGAGTTTGTTTTTGTCTATAATGTCCAACGATATCGCTTTTAATACACATATAGAGAGATAGTTCATAAGGACTGGTAGTGTATTAGTTATTGATACCTAACCTTAAACCAGCCATTACTCGGTGTCTGTCTCTCTCTACATGTTATTCCCATATATACATACATACAGTGTGTTTATAACACACACTATATGTCAAAACGCTATACACTTTGAAAGCATACGCCCTTTCATTAGATCACCGCATAAGACATTCAATTGCTTTTTTTATTAAACATTTTAGTTTTTTATAGTAATAATCGTCTCATTTAATAATAATAATATTTAATAATTATATGATATAATCTATCTATTGTGTGATGGGTTGGATGCTATCTATATATATAAAATGATCGCTAAGTGATATAACAGTGCTTTATTTTATTTTTAAAGAGGAAAGACATATCTATACATACAGTCCTATTATTATTACAGGTGATGATAGTAACGGTATTTTCAAAAAACACTTGACTGACTAACTAATTGTTCAGTCAATCGGATCTATTATATATATTTTTGTTTTGAGGATCAAGTAATCACCGGCTGTTTTCAAAGATTTTTTAATCTTAATATTTATTATTATTAGTTAAACTCGTGTTTGTTATGACACTGATAGTGATAATAGTAGACAAACACTATATACTTATCTCATATCTATTTGTGTTTTCTGTGTGTGTGTATTGTATTGTATTGATAGACCGCCAATCGATAACTGGATTTAAAGGTTGAATACATTATATGTGTCACCAAATAATGGCATAAAAATATTTACTGAAATCGTCTAACTATGTAATGTAATCTAATAATAGTTTTTTCCATGTATTTTAAATATCAATGATTTTTGTTGTCTAATAACTGTAAGAGTCATTGGCCTAAGTTTTAGTGAAATATTAGACGATTATATATATTATTATTATCATTATTAACAGTTATAATACTGTATTAACTAACTAATAATAAGGATTATTATTTGCTTAATAATATTATGTTTTTTGATTTTATTTGACTTGTTTTACATTACATTACAAATATTAATATTTATACAAAAAGTTTATTATTATAAATACTGTAATATTACTTGATATGTTAAACTACAGTAATTTTATACATATATAAATTATTAAACCCCATAGACATTGAATTTGTCAAAACAAGTTTATTTTAATTAATTAATCAATTAATTAATAGCAATAACAACAACAAAAAATAACTTTAATTTTGTTGTTGTTGTTATTTTTTTGCAAATTAATTAATCAACTATTTATATTTGATGACAAATTATATAGGGTTTAAATATTTTCAGTAAAATATTTTTATAATTTTTCATTATTATTATTAGTAGTATTTGAATACCTCATTAAATATAAACTAGATTTTGTGTTTGAAAATATTAATTTGTCGACAAATTGATTTTGAATTATATAATAATACTGTATATCATTATATTGAAAGATTTTTTTTATTGTAATGATGTTTTTTCCGAGTAATTGAATACTTTATTGAATTGTAAAAATAGTATCTGAAAAATGTTATTATTGTAATTATTATTATTATTTAGCGCAACAAATGATACAAAAAAAACATATTTGTGATATAATTTATATATTATATATTTAAATGAATATATTTATTGCCAAAAGCGTGTTAAAACAGTTTCTTTTAATGATATCTTTTTTATAAATGCATTATTTGTTTTGTTAAGTCTCTATGTATATGTAATGAATAATAATTTTTTTAATAATAATAATAAGTATATGTAAAATAGATAATTTCCTTTAATATAAAATATGTTAGTAATAATAATAAGTTAGCAATTTGTAGAGTACGTGTATATTAGTTTTTGAATAATGTTTTTTGTTTGTTTACATTGTAATAAGTTATTAAAAAATWTATATATATATATATATATATATATATATATATATATATATATATATATATAATATATTTAATAATAATAATGATAATGAGATATACCGTACATACTGTACAGTATTAAAAATATTATGATAATTAAAGTGGTAATCATTTGATTATCTCACATAACTGTCAATAATATTTAATATTAATAGTGATGATTCCCCCCCCCCCCCATTTTCTTATACAATATTCAAACATTGATAATCCAGGTTATTAAAGTGTATAATTTATTATTAATGAAAACAATTATGTATTTTTTTTAAATTTAAACATTAAATTACACATTCAATTGTTTTCATAGCTAATAGGCGATAGCAATCGAAACAATAATAATTTACTAAAATTTTTTTTTATTTAGTGAATAATTTATATACCGTATTATAATGTATACACACTGTATATAATAATATAGTGCTGTGTGTGTATGTTTTGTTACTAAACAACCAATGTTTTTATAAATTATAAACTATTAAAAACGTTGGCGTTTAATAATAAACTTAACTATTTGTTTTATCAATAAATTGTATTGTATTACCAAATATATATATAATCTACTGAGAAAGTGATTACAATATTACTAGTGTAATATCATACAGTTAGACGACAAATAGATATTAAATTATATATATTTATACAATAAGTTTACTTATATTTTTAGCAATGGTTATAAAGATAGCGATTTCATAATTTTTATTAAATATATGTATATTTTATATCATATATGTTATGAAACCACTGTAAGCTGATATACGAAATATACTTAATTTTAGATTAATGAATAACAAAACAAATGAATAGCTATTTATAGTATTATTTAATTTTTGTTTTATATACTAATTTATCTAATGATATATAAACTATATTTAGTATTTATATTATAATACTGTACTGTGAATATCATAAACTATATTATTATACTGTACTGTAGTTTGACGAGTGAGGGAGTGATGAAAATATATATATATATATTAGTCTAAAAAGGTCTGAGCAAACACTCGGGCAAAGAAATGTCATGTTTTTTGTATGTAATTCATTGATATTTATTTGATAAAAGTTATTATTATTATTATTACATATGAATTCATTATAGCGTATATCCCAGTTATCCTGTATTTGTAGGGCCAACCCATCCACCAAAAAAAGGGTGTTTCGTAAACATTATTGTTTAGAGTCCATTGCGTGCAATCAAATAATTATTATCAAACACCACTTTTCGCATACAAGCACTTAATGTCCTAACCTTTTATATTTCAAAAAAAATATTATTAAAAAATAAATGATTTACTTTTTTATCTCACTCGCTCTTGTCTAACAATCAAACATAAAATAATAATAATAATAATAATACAGTTAAAAAAAATTATAATTTGCAAATTTGTTTCAAATCAAACTATATTTTCCCAAACAGTAGTTATTGTATATATTTTATTTTAATTTGCTAATTGTATTTAAAATGGTTTGTTGTATTGTAATGTGTAGTAATTATATATATATATAAGTTATATGATTTTTTAATTTGATATACAGTTATATTTGCTGTTAAATATATGCTAATAATCCTTAACTCTATTTTTTTTTAATTTGTAAATTAGCCCAACCCTAGTTAGAATTGGCATTTTTATTTCGACATTAACAATTTTTTATTATTATTATTGTTGTTGGTTGTATATTAAATATGTATATAATTTTTAAAACTCATAAAAATATCTATTAGGCGTTAGTTAAATAATAAATCAAAATATATATTATATATTTTATTGGTTAGTATATAAAAATAAAACAATTCATGACATTTTACGAGTAATTGAAAATCAACTAAATTTATAATAACTTTATTATTATTATTATACAATGCTTAGACAATTGCCGGCAAAGTTTTTTTTGTTGATGAAAAAACAACTTAATTACAGAAAAAATTATAATATTATAGATAACTATAAAATTGACATTTGAATGCCTTTAATTGAAGTTCATTAATGATTTAAATGATTTTTGTTTATTTATTTATTTTTTATTATATAAAGTCCGGAGTCATTGCTTCCTTATTATTGTCAGACAAACTGTTTGATTATAAAATTAGAAATAAATATATTTTAAAGCTTTTTTACATCATTTTTGAATTGACTATAACTTTTAGTTGAAAACTTGAAAAACAATGATTAAATTATATTATATTATATATACAGTATATATATATATATATATTTAAAAGATATGTTTATTAAACAAACATTTCTGGGTTTTAGATCTAACAGTTGGTCTTCTCTTTAGTTATAATAATAATATCTAACCATAACTTTTAACTTCACGACCCGTTTGATGACTTTAGGCAAATCGTGAGATAACTTTTTACGGCTTATTTCAACCACTAATAAACCGATTATTTTTTTTAACTTAACTTAATTTTGTGTTTGCAATGTTTAATAACAAATAAAAATAATTTTGTTTTCATAGCATAGATTTACACCTCTTTTTTTCTCTCTCTGTATATATTTTAATAGTATTATCTCTATATTATATATACAACAATATTTCACTGGGAATTAAGTTTAATATTAACTTATGGTTTGTGTGTGTGTGTGTTATCTTTATTAAAAATTTATATTTATTTACCTTATTGTTAGATAATAATGTTTAGATTATATCTTATTTTAGATTTAATTAATTGAAAGAAAAAAAATATGAAAAATATTTTATGTATAGAAAAGAGAAAAAAGATGATTATATCTATAATTATTTATTAATAATACGTTTGAAAATCAATTATATAGATTATATTCAAAATAATAATATGTAATGGTTGTCTAAAATAACAATAAATTTATTTTAATATTAATAATATTTTTTTTGGTGGAGCTTTTAAATAACATAGTTTTTTTTTTGAAGGTTAATGCAGTGCATTGCTGTATGCAATGAGATAGATATACATTTGGTTTTTAATAATAATTTTATTATTATTATTAATTTCATATCAAATATGTTCAATGTTAACATATTTTTTTTAAATAATAAATATTTTTGACAGAAATTATTGAAATGTTGAATTGTTTATTTTTTGTTATTGATTATTAATGAAATATATATACCAGTATATAATAACTATGATAATATATACAGTAGTATTTTATATAACCTAATATGTTAATTTTGGTGAAAAATATTTGTATAATAAATAAATAATAATTTTTTTTCGCAATTATTTATTATTGTGAATAAATTTGTTTTTTTCAAAATTTAAAATTTTGTAATAAAATTTATTTATTTAATTAATTTTTTTTTGTATATATATTTTAGTTGTGATTAACCGGATTTGTGGTTACCATCAGATGGTATGGCAGAAGGAGATTCAATTGAGCAAAAGTCTGAGGCATCGACAGTTGATGTGATGCAAGAAAATGGACCGAAAAGCAAGAAACGAAAGCCCCGGTCGGCCACTAATTTGAGCTCAAAAGAGACTTCTTGTAAAGTGATTCTACTCGACGGCAGTGAATACGAGAGTCACGTCAATGTATGGGATAATTGATTGATTTAATTGTGTTATCAGTTTGTAGTGATTTTTAAATTAAATTATTATTTACTTTTGTGTGACTAAAATAGCGGCGAACCAAAGGTGGCGAACTGTTTGACAAAATATGTGATGAACTGAATCTTCTGGAGAAGGATTACTTTGGCCTTTCATATCGTGATCACGAAGAATCACGGGTTTGTTATTATTTTTGAGATATATTTTTTTTTTTAAACTTGTTTTAAAAAAATTTTTGTTTACAAATTGTTATCTAGAATTGGCTTAACTTAGATAAACGTATAGAAAAACAAATTAAAAGTGAGTCTTAAAAATATATATATTTTTCATGAAAATTATTATAATTTATATATATATATATATATTGTTATAGATCTGCCATGGATCTTCAATTTTGAAGTCAAATTTTATCCACCCGACCCGACACAGCTCCAGGAGGACATAACAAGGTATATAATCAGTACTTTTTTTTATATTTACCCGTAATTAAAAATTTATAATTTAATATATAATCTCTAATTTTTTTAGATATTTATTATGTCTGCAAATACGAAACGACATACTAATTGGTCGTCTTCCCTGTTCATTTGTAACCCATGCTATGTTGGGCTCGTATTTGGCACAATCGGAACTGGGCGACTACGAGCCCGACGAACACGGCAACAATTATCTATCGGAATTCCGATTTGCACCCAACCAGACACACGAGTTGGAAGAAAAAGTCTGCGAACTACATAAACAACATCGGGGACAGACATCAGCCGAATCGGAGATGCAATATCTGGAGAATGCCAAAAAGTTGGCCATGTATGGCGTGGATCTGCATCCGGCTAAAGATTCGGCCGGTGTCGACATTATGATGGGTGTATGTGCTTCCGGTCTACTTGTCTATCGGGATCGGCTCCGAATCAATCGGTTTGCGTGGCCGAAGATACTTAAGATATCATACAAGCGAAACAATTTCTACATTAAAATTCGGCCTGGTGAATTTGAACAATACGAATCGACTATCGGCTTCAAACTGGCCAATCATAAAGCGGCCAAACGACTCTGGAAGACCTGTGTCGAACACCACACCTTTTTTAGGTATGTTTTTATCGGGAAAATGTTATTATTATTTTTGAAAAATTAAAAAATCTAATTGTCATTTGAATTTTTGTTGTTTGTGGTACGGATCAGACTCATGTCACCGGAGCCGCCGCCAAAACAAAGCCTATTTTTGCCACGTTTTGGATCGAAATTCCGTTACTCTGGCAAAACTCATTACCAAACCCGGATGTCCAGTGCACTCATCGATCGACCAGCTCTTCATTTTCAGCGAACGCTAAGCAATAGACGATTAACATCAAGAAGTGTTGACGGAGGTATCGTATGAGTTGTTGTCGTAGTTCTAGTTTGCCATTGATTTTGTTGTTGTTTTTTGGCTCATTAATTGATTATTGAATGCATGAAATAGCATGGCTTTAATATAAATATTTATTTTGTTGTTTATTTTTTGTTATGTTTTTGAATGCAATATCGATAATCAAAACACAAAAAAAGTATTGGGTTTTGAGAGATATAGACCTCCTGTAGCTGATCATAGACCGGATGAAACAAAAATCCGTAGCGTTTCAGGTATTGAATGCAATTAATTTTTTTTCAAAACCAAAAAATGCTTTATAAGTTTGTTGTTTTTTAATAAAAACTTTATTTATCTAAATTATTTATTAATATTTTAATTTCAATAGGTCCGCCGCGACCATATGATTCAGATCGTTCGAGTCGCGATGAAAAGGTTCGCTCGGGAACCGGTATCTCATCGACAACAGCTACGACACCCGAAAGTATTGGCGGTAAGACTCCGTCACTTGTTTCAGATGGCGAAGAATCTGAACGACGTCATCATCGACGACCAATCGGCGGCGTTGCTGTATTGCCACCGATGGAAATGAAACGCATTGAAGAACAGCGAAAGAGTCCAATCGATAGGCCATTAAGCAAAAGTCCTGAGATTCTATACGAAGAAGAGGTTAATAATTTTATTTCGTTTTTTTTAATTTATTAATCAATAATTTTTTGTTAAAATTAATAATACATTAATTGCATGTATTTTTATTTAATTGATTTTGATTTTTTATGTTATAATATCGTTATATGTTCTGATCGTTTGGATTGCATGTTATTGACAACTACTATATGGCGATTGATATTTAAAAACCCAAAAAACAAAATACATGTTTGCGATATATTTATATATATATTGTGTGTGTGTTTGTATTTACCGTAATAACTAATATTTGCCGACTAATAGCGGTCAACAAAACCGCCGGTAATATCGCCTAAAACAACTGTCACTTCCCATAAAAGTAGAGTTACTCCCACTAAACGAGAAGAATTTTTTAACGAAGCAAACAAAGCTGAAAGTCCATTGACAAGTACTCCGAAGAGTAGATCATCGCAAGGGTTTGACCTAAAACCGGTCGGTTCTGCATTTGTTAAGGAATATACTTACGTTACCGATGAAGACGGTGACAATCGGCGTCCATACAGTCCACGAGATCATGGTTTTTCATATTCTACTGATCGAAAGTCGGCAGACATGTCTCCCATTGCCAGAGGAGAGGACCTGCCGTCGCCTACTAGCAAACGTATGACAGGACTAGCATTTACTTATAGACCGCCCGATAAAGATGTGGTAGATCAGCGTTCGCCGACCAGCGAGACGACTAAGTCTCCGCCACAAACCAAAGTTAGACAAGAAGTGCCTTCACGAGACGCGACAGCTGTTGAGCGCACAAAAATGCAAATGCGTGACAAAGGTCTGCCAATTGGCCAGACAATGGTTACGACTGCTCCCAAACAATCAAAACTTCCCACAAAACTATCGCCTACTTTAGTAGTCCTGGAAGATGACGATAAACAGCGAAAATCAAAAGATAGATCAGGCATTCCAACAAAAACCAAATCACCCAAAACAACACCGACGTCACCGAAAACTATGACGGAAACCGGCAGAACTTCCCGTCAATCAAAAGACTCGAAACTAGAGTCAAGTTCCAGTGAGGGGTCAGTTACTTCCGGCAGTTCTATGGATGAGTACGACAAGGAAACAATTAAACACGACCCGACCATTACGGCTACACCAGTGAAAACTGCTATCAAATCGGCTATTAAATCACCGGACAGAATGATAGTGTCATCACCAGAAAAAGGTCGTTTGGTTAGCACACAAATGTCTGGTCCAAAGATAACCCACGCCAGCCGTAAAAGAGTTGTGACCAATGCTGACGGAACTGTCGAAGAAATGGAAGAAGTGCTCGAACCGGACGCTTTGGGCGCGTTGTCGGCCGCATCCAAACCGGTAATTATTGGTGTCGTGCCCTCCGCTGCCACTAAATCTCGTACTTCAACTTCAGAATCGGTACCAAATATAAAAAAACATAAAAAACAATTGCTTTTTATTAAAAAAGATAAAATATAAAAATATATAATGATTTGAGACGTTCATCACTTGTATTGCACTAACTATTACTATACACTAAACTAATAATTTCGGCTTTTTCACTAACTATGCATAAACTATGAAATTATTTACTAAAATTTGTATTTAAAAAATATATATATAAACTTTTGCTTTGCTTTTGTGTGTTAGATATTTAATTACAATTTTTTTAAAATCATTTATTAATTGCGAATTTTGTTTTTGATAAATAATTATTATTAGATTTCTGAAAAGTCTAAACGAACTTCACAGCGATTACCGCATCAAACGGGTCATCCCATACACGAGTCTTCAAAAGTTGCCTCATCTTCGATATCATCGGTAACCAAAAAGCATGAAGAAGGACACGAAAGGGGACTGCATTCGACAAAAAAGACAAGTACTACCATTGAAGAAGAAAAGTCGTTGTCGAAGCACATCTCGCAAAGCACTAGACTTGTCGGCAGTGGCGGCGGCGGACCAGCCGATGATGTTCATCAACCCATTATTAAGACTGAAAAGATCAAATATAGCCCAAGTGCTCAACAAAGTCCACTCCCAACCAAATCTGTTCCTGTTATTGCTACCGAAACTAGAAAAGTGGCCTACACTGAGACACGGGTTAGTTTAGTTTAAAATGGTTTTATGTTTTAATATGTCATATGCTTTAATATGTTTTTTTTTATTTTAATTTTAATAGCCATCAAAGCATACTCAAGATTCACAGCCACCAATGACAACGGCTACACCACCGCCGCCGCCACAGTTTGCTAACGACACAAGTCCTGGTACTTCACCGACCAATGGATCGGCTGCGTCACCGGTAGGCAATGTGGTCAGTTCGCAGACAATTTCATCGAAAACAAGAACCGTTGAGACGGTTACGGTTTGTTTAGAAACTTTGTTTTTAATATTATTAATATCTGTATATCGATATATCTAATATTGTTTTGCTTTTTTTAGTATAAAATGGAAAAGGATGGCGTAGTCGAGACCCGAGTCGAGCAAAAAATAACGATTCAAAGTGATGGCGATCCCATCGATCACGACCGGGCACTGGCAGATGCCATACAAGAGGCAACTATGATGAATCCGGATATGACTGTCGAAAAAATTGAAATTCAACAACAATCGTCAATCCAGTGATCCATATAATAAGCCCATAACCATCGATGACTACTATTATACTGTAATATCATAATAATGATGACTACCATTTTGAGAGCAGCTTTTTATTTGAGAGAAAAAAAATTATATATATATATAAAAATTATACATATATTTATTCATCAAATTCATTGCGCGAATCATATTTAATGATGAAAAAAGTATTTTTATTTGCATTTTTTTTATAATTTACAATTCAAACAACAACAAAATTATTATACCATTTATTTAGTAGTTCAAAATAATAATATATTATTAATTAATTGTGCCACAAAAACGAAATTATTATATATATATTTTTGTTTGTTTATTTTTTGTTCAATTATTTATAGCAGCAATAATGTATTGTAGAACTAAAAATTATTATTATTATATACACAACACACACACAAAAAACTAAATTCATAAATTTTTATCATTTATTTTTTTTAATTGTATTTTGATTTCACTAATTTTTACAAAGTGATGATAGCATATATAATATATATATATAAATGATATGTTTATATTTTGAGAGTAAAAATCTAAAACACATATTGAAAGGCTCAACGATTCAATTGATTGATTTTATTGTTAATAAGTTTATTATAAATTAATAATAATGATAATGAATATTGTAATGTGAGATACAGTACACAACAACAAACCTATTAATATTTTAATGTAATCTCTTATGTTGTTTGCATTTTTAAATTATATATTATTATTAATTAATTATTATTATTATAATCGCCTTTTTAAGAGCAAACGAAATGTAATTTAAATGAAAAAAGAGTTATAATATATATTTAACAGTTAATTTAATATTATAATTAAATAATTTAAAATTATATAATAATAAAATTAATAAATTTTAAATTTGATATTATTTTAATGTTTTTTTATTAATTTATTATTCATTGCATTTTAATAAAGGTAAGTAATATTTGGTAAATAATAGTATAAATGTATTTCAAATATTTTTTAATAAATTTGAATTTTATCTATAATTGTTAATAGAAATACCAAATAAAATTTGATGTCAAAAAATATTTATAATTAAAAAAGTTTTTATAATAAAATATTATTTTAAAAATTAAAACTATTTAATAAAATTACTTTAATTATTTGTTATTTGTAAATGTTTATTTTAAAAATATAAGTCATACAGTTTAATACAATTTAATATAATAATAAAATTTGTATACATTATTTTACAGCTAGTATAAAGTATTTAAAAAAAAACTTATTTATATTATTATTAAATTATTTTTTCTCAAATAAAACATGAAATAAAATTTAAATTTCAAAATAACAAATATAATAATAAATATAATTACTATTAATAGAAATAAATGATTTTATGATTTACTATTTTATACTAAACAGTACATAAATTTTTTGCATACCTTAGTCATTAATTATATTAGTTAATTTTTAACATAATTATTGCATTTATTATTGCAACAAATATTTATGATAATAGTTAATGATTAATGAACATTCATACAATATTTTATAATATATTGCTTTTTACTTAAATGTTAAGAAAAACATTGTTTTATGAATGATTTTATACATCTTTCTTTTAAAAAAATTATTACTATTAATTTTTTATGTTTAAATAATTTTTCTATACTTAACATTTGCTAATTTTTTTCTCTTAATGAATAAGTACAGAATACAGAATATAGTGTATTTAATAATAATAATAATAATAATTCTATATTTATTTATTTTTGCTAATATGATGCAAATTATTATTATTATTCAAAGTGTGATCACTTTATTGGCTATAATTATTATGAAAACTATTTATAGAAATTTTAGAAAATAATTCTCAATAAAAAATAGTTTATGTAATGTTATGATTGTCTTTATATGATTCAGCTGTTTGTCGACAAATATATAGAGAGTATATCGTATATACAGTATATTCTGTATATTTTATTCATTCATTGCATTGAAATACTGTAAATATTAGTGAACTCCCTATTATATATATAGGCTGTTAAGTCAAGTGTTGATATTATAGGTCTATAACTGTATTTACGGAATTTTTTTTTTTTTTTGGTTAAAGTATGTATTAATAATTGTTTTTTTAATTGTCTCTAATTTTTTTATACCGGTATTCAAAACAATATAGAGTTATTGTTATTATAGTAATAAAAAATAATATATATTTTTAATAAAATGTTTTTCGGACAATATATTAGTCGCCTAATTACACACTAATACTGTATTAATATACAGTAGGATTTGTCAACTCAAATGCCATAATTATATGAGTGTTAAATGGTTTAAACGTCTTTAGACTAGGAGATGCCTACTACTACTAGTAGGCATCCTAACATGACGTCCCAATTGCTGGACGTGTAATTTGATCTCTGACTTTAGTAGTAATTATTGGGCCAGTGGTCTGTGTGTGGGTCAGTTGAAAATTTTTAAAAAAAATAATAATTGCTATAAGTTACCCATAAAACTTGTATACTGTAATACAGTAGTAATTAGTACAGTAATACATAAAAAAATACAGTAAACTTACATTATATACTAATGTATTTATGCAAAAATAACTTATTTATGTCTACAACATATATTTGTGTCAGTTTAATAATTAAGACACAAAATTAATTTTAATGATAATACTGTAATTTGAATAATGCTATTTGAGTTTTTTAAAAAAAATATATATTAACAATTAAGACTAATACAGTATATAGTGTATCGGATAAGGTTTCAAACTATTTTGTCAATTATCGGTTGGATTAAAAATACATTTTTTAAAAGAAAAATATAGTCATTTTGCTTATTAAACGAAACAATTTTGAAATTATATAAATAATTATATAGTTTTGTTGTTGTTGTTGTCGCTGACCATTAAATTAGGACATTATTATTATCAGGACTTAAGCTTATATAGAAAGTTATTATTTAATAATTATAATAATACTTTATATCAAAATTAATTGCTAAAAATATTCTGTATCTACTGTTCAAATATATTTTTAAATAAAAGGTTTTGTAAAATATAACTAAAATCATTTAGAAATATCTGTAATTGCATTACACGGCACACACATACACACACGTGTCAGGATGTGGTCAGCACTGGTATCTGTATGTGTGTGTGTCTGTGTCGATAATTTCGGTGTCGACCAATTCATAAACAAAATTGATGACATAAAATATATATATGATATCTTTTTAAACATTATTTTTAGTTTCTTTCAGTAAATTTATTGATACTTTTTTTTAAATTATTATAGTTTTCGTCGACATCATGTTTATATAAAACAAACTACAAATTGGATGTTACTATGAATTTGGAGATACAGCTCAAAGACAGTACCGACACACACACACACACACACACACACACACACACACACACACACACACACACACACACACACACACACACACACCATTAGCACCGGGACCATGTGCCGACACGTGCCTACACTGGGGCCTGGGATCTATGGATAGTGTTCAACTAAACTGTTGCTTATTTAAATCAAAATTTATGTTTATATAAAAAAAGTTGGAAATTTATTTTACACTTGAAATTCACTAATAAAACAAAAGTGAGAAAAATGGTTTGTTTTTTTTTGTAGGGAAGTGCTGTATATCTTAAAGAGTTTGGGACTCAAAAAATATCAGCCAATCTTTCTTTGAAGAGAAGAAGATGTTGGCTAAAGGAGGAGTTGTCTCTATAATAGGTAGGCATCACTCCTCCATAGAGACACCACTACTACTCATCTTAATCTTAGTTTTTTTGGGACATCATTTAGTCGAAAAAATATTTTATTATAGTATTTAGTGTAGTATTAATGTGTTTTGCAAATTCATTAATTTTTTGAAAAAAAAAATAATTATCGATAAAAATAATTAAGTTTATTAAATCATATTAGATAATAAAGTTATTTAACTTTTTTTTTGAAAAACATAAATATTTTAATCTCTGCTCAAAGTCAAAGGTCAAACAATTTTTGTGAGTTATATTTATTTAAGTAATAACCATTTAATCTTGTTTTTGCTTAAAATATACAGTAGCTTTTCATAACTTTAGTTAATATTTTTATTGAATGCTAAAAAAGTGTTCCCAAAGTTCTCTCTTTCTCTCTCTCTCTCTCTCTCTCTCTCTCTCTCTCTCTCTCTTTCTCTATCTTAAGATTTTTATGCAATATGTCGCTCAATAAAAAAATAAGTGAAAGTTTTGTTGTCCGTAATTTGAGACCCGATTAGTATAGTGGGACTCAAATGATGACAAAGTGGGCATCACTTTAATAATTCACACACAACTTAAAAAAAACATTGAATTTAGTTAGTGTTTGTTTGTCTCATATAAAATCATTTTCAAATCATTGCAGAAAACTAATCATTTAGCAAATCAATGGGTCGTAAGAGAAAGTTTTCAGAAACCGATTTCATGGACATGTTGTCCGACTCGGAGACGTCCGATTCAAACGGCAAGCAACCGGTGGCCAGGAATGCGGCCAATGCTCGGGAAAGGGCGCGGATGAGAGTGTTGAGCAAAGTTTGTTTTATTAATTTTTAAAAATTAAATTTTTAGAAATATTATATTTTGTTGTTGTTTATAATGCAAATAAAAATATTTTAGGCGTTTACTCGTTTGAAAACATCGTTGCCTTGGGTGCCGGCGGACACCAAACTGTCCAAATTGGATACATTGAGATTAGCGACCAGTTATATCAGTCATTTGCGGCAAATACTGGCCGATGAACAGGCCATGGCTAACACAGGCATACATCCGCTAAATTTGGTAATTATTGCAATTGTTTGTCAATTATTTTTATATTGTTTTAAGTATTTTAATTATTATATAATAAATTAAGTATAATTTTTGAGAATAGTTATACAATTAAATATAATGCAAACTCATATAATATAATTATAATTATGGCATATAATTGTATATTAAGTTTTTGATATAAATTTAAATTTGAGTATTATAATTATAAATGTTTTTTTCTCAATATTTAACATATATTTTACCGTAAAATTTAATTAATTGAAGTGCTAATAACCATTTGACCACTTTGAAATAAATAAATTTATACTTACGATATATAATACTTATATAACTAAAATTTTAACTTAAAAGCACTTATTTATAGTAATTTATTTATACAGTAAATATTAATTATAGAATTAATAATGTTTTTAAAAAATAGATATATTACGTTAGATTAATGAACAAAAAATCAATAATTAAATTTTTTGAGAAATAATTTTGTTTACTGTAATATTATTTAACATAATATTTAAAAATTAATATAGTGAACTATTGTTAATAATTATCAAGCATAAATAAATCTAAACACTATTGATAAAAATTAATTAATTAATTTTTTAAATATATACAATATCTATCGGTGAATTTGTGAATAATATTACGGTATTAGATTTATTTAAGTAAAAATTAATTAATTATTAATATTTATATAATTTAATTTTAATTCTGGACCGCCTGTTGCCATATAATACTTTTGACACTTTAGGCTAAATATAGGAGTCTTTAGAGATCAGTGAAGACACTCAAGATATTTCAAGAGAGAGAGAGAGAGAGAGAGAGAGAGAGAGAGAGAGAGAGAGAGAGAGAGAGAGAGAGAGAGAGAGAGAGAGAGAGAGAGAGAGAGAGAGAATAGTATTAAGTTTAGACTCAAATTTTTCAACAGATGTTATATATTCAGACCAAACAAAAAAAAGTTTGTTTCAAAACATATATACAAATATATATATATATATAGTTATAAACAGTATATATATATATAGGGCTTGAAAATGACATTCAGTTTGTTTTTTAAGTGAATCGCTCGACTGACTAATGATTATATAAATAAGTTATTTTGTTATGTCATTTGATTTAATTCATTCATTCATTGATTTAAATGCATTTTCATTTGTTGCAGAGCTGGCCCTTTACTTGTCATAACAAGTCGTCAAATGGTAATCAAAGTCAACTGTTCACTTCTTCCGACGCCTTTCCCCATCATTTACATCCCTGTCCTCAACACAATCTAACGGATCAGACGCTATGTTTTTCGTTGAAGAATATAACAGCAGACAATCAATTTTATCAGTCATCATATGAATCGCAAATTAATGATTTTAGCAATTATTGTTAATATTATTTGTTTTGTTTTTTTTCTAAATAAAAATTAAATCATAGTATCAACTTATATTAATTGCTAAACAATTAAACAACAAATAAAAACTATTGTATAATTTTTTTAACAATATTTAATTTATAAATTATTTAACATTTATTCATAGTTGATTTAATACTATTAGATTACTTATTATATAAAATAATGATTTATTAAATTAATTTTTAAGTAATTTACACATTTTGTAATTAAATTATTCATTAATAAATAAAAGTAATTAACAGTTATTTTACGTAAATAAAATTTTATTTAAATTTATTTAAAAAAAATGTCATTAGAAATTGGTAAGTAATATTTTATTATAAAATTAAAAAAAAATTAAAAATAAAATACAGCTTTAATAATGATTATACCGGTACATTATAATGTTATTTTTGTATGTATTCATAATTTCATAAAATAATAGTAATAATAGTATATTAATAATTAAATTGAATTAAAAACATAAATTGAGAAATCAATTAAAAATAATTTATTTATTTATATTTATTGGCAATATATTTGGGTTTTGGTCCGTAAAATCTGAGCCGTTTCTTCATTTTCATCACTTCTTTCATACCGTCATTATTATTATTATTATTATTATTATTATTATTAGCCATTGATTTGTTGGCAATTTGTTGGACCAAATTTACGGTAATAGAACCGTCACTTTCAATGGTTACCCGTCTATTATAAACACGACTATCGTTATCATTGCCACCACTCCTGCGACCCGAATCTGATGATGACTTATCGATTTTGGATACGATTTGTTTGTCACCGAACAACTGATTCCGTTTAACGAAATGATTTTCATGAGATTTAGCAGCCGGTGATGATTTTGATGCTAAACACCATCGCTGACTATCAATATTAATGGTCATATGTTTACCATCACATAAACCATTATCATTGTCAGCGGTGGTAATGATGCCAACAACAGTAGGTGTAGTATCATTTGGCACGTATTGTCTATCCATCAACTGATGCCACATATCAAGCTTTGCACGCGCTTTGGCCCACATTTTTTGGATTTAAAGGACAATCAATAGCTGGATGTCTTAATTAGAGAAATTATTGGATAAAAAAATAGTGACAAAAATTTGTTGGAAAATATTGTTTTGTTTTAAAAAAAAATCAAAATAAGTTATTATTTGATATTAATTTCAATAGTTTATAGTATTTTTAAAAAGTTTTGTTACACTAATACTATAATTTATAAACAAAATTATATCAATCATTCAAATGCAATAAAAATAACGTTAATGTATGAAATGTAAGCAATAATGTGATTCAATAAAAATAACTAATAAACGATTAATATATAGTCTAAATAATTATTATAATACCGGTATATTATATAATAATAATGATATATTAATAATAAATAATAATATTAATGATGATAAATAATATCTAGAAATATAACAAATTAAATGTATTGTTTGATTTTAAAATTAAAATCAAATTAATATATATATTTATATGGAAAATTTTAAATGATTATTGAGCAATTGGATAGTTTGCTAGGGACAGGTAGGTGGGTGCTGTAGTGGAGGTTAATCTAGTATATTAAGATTAAAATTAATAATTTATTTCTAAATTAAACGATATATTTATTTTTTAAGTTTTACCTGTAATACAGTATAACAAACAATGGCTATATTGTTATGAAATACATTGTTGTATTACATTTTGTATACTTAACAACAAAAAAAACAAAATATCAAATCATAATAAATCAATAAACTGGAGGCTAATATCTAAACGAGGGTTGGAAAAATACAATGTTTTGAATTTGTAAAATACAATATTATACAATGTATTGCATGTATTATACAATTTTTAAAACAAATATATATTAAGTTAAACAAAATTAATCATAAATATTTAGTAAAAATATAGGCTGTTCTATAGTGCAGCTCCCACTTGTTGAGCACGCGATTATTATTTCCATATATTTATATGTATTTTAATTTAGTTTAGGTTAGGTTAGGTTACGTGCTATTCATAAATTTAACATTAAAACTGTATTAAATAATAATCGCGTGCCAACAAGTGGGAGCTGCACTATAGAATCCCCAAAATATAATTGCTACAAAATTCATTATTTATAATATAATGAATGTATTATTATGAATATAATCGTTGTTTTTAAATAATAATAATGAAATAATTTAAAATAAAAACTCAATAAAAATAATATCAAATTTATATTTATTATAAAATATGTTTTGATGTTTAATTGTTTCAATTGTGTTTAAATGATTTTAACATTAGGTGGCGATAAATTTTGTTTGTAATCCAAATTGGCCATGTATTCTACATTGTATTATACATTGTATTATACATTGTATTATACATTGTATTATACATTGTATTATACATTGTATTCTACAAACATTTTGTCTCTGCCAACACTGATCTAAACACATTTATTCATTTTTATTCATTAATAATAACATTTTGTTACTTATATACCGGTATAACATATTATATACAACATTTGTATAACATTATTTGTATTGTATATATTGGAGTTATTTTAGTTTTTATGTTAGCAAAAAAAATACAAATATATCGATTAAAAAACAAATTAAAAAATGCATTTAAAAAAGAGTATAATAAACTTTTATTTTTATTGTAAATTCTAGTAATAATTAAAATAATATTATAATTATTGGTATAGAAAGTAAATTTTTATCAATAATTTTATCTCATTTAAATAATATCCATTTCATGTGTGCACCAAAATAACATAGACATGAATATATATATATATTATGTCATTTAAATATAAAACTAAATAAAATGATTATTATTTATAAAATTATGATATATTTTTTAGTGTTATCATTGAAATTAACACCAAAACGTGACTTCAACCCATATTATATAAGTCTAGTTTTATTTTATTTTTAAAACTTAAATTTGCACAAAAATAAATTTGTATACAGATTACAATTAATTAATCCTTAAATATTGAATAATAATATTGAATAAATATATTGGAAATACTGTCTAATATTATAGTATAAAATTTATAATATTACATAAGTATAGTAAAAAAAATATTGTTAAAATTATTATATATAAAAAGTAAAATAGAAATAAAGTTATTTAAATTATATAATATTCTTATTAATTATTAAAAGCTTATATTAATGAAATAAAAATTATAATTAAAAATATTAAAACAATAATTTAAAATATAATAATAAAATTATTATATTTTATTTTCTGGTTATTTACAGGAATATATTTTAAGTATCATTAAACAAATTGCAAAACATTATATGCTATAATATTATATATTTTTATAATGTTTTTATTTAACATATTATATTTTTTAAAAAAATAAAACTTACGAATTTGTAATAAAAATAAATTTAAATTTAATTTATATGAATATTTTTTAATGAATACACTATATAAAAAAACTTATTATGTATGAAACACTGTAGAGATTCTGGGTGCTATCAATAATATGGTCTATACATCCATATGCTACCAGTGCTGCTGATCCACTAAACTAATATATTTGTTATACTACAGTTAGGTTAGGGACATGTGTGCTGTTGGGACTTTTATTGCATTTTCCCCATATATATAAACACCTAGCTTAAAAAATACTATAAATTATTGTAAATGTACTGTAGTATGCATTTTGAACACACATTTAAAAAACTATATAAACTTTATATTATAAAGTATAGCAAATTATCCTATATATCGATAGCAATCTATTTGTTGAAACACTTATTTTATTTTAAAAAAAGTTGAAGCAATTAAACAAAATTTATTTATTGAATATTTAACTAATAATGTGTGAAAAATATACATAAATTATATTAACTAATGATTCAACTTGTTATGGTTTACTGTATTAAGTAAAAAATAAAAATATTTTGAAACTTAAGTTTAGTATTTTTTTTTATATATTAATCAATAATAATAATAATATTTATCTGTTAAATGTCAGTATTATTTTTTTGTTAGTTAATTATATTTTAAATTACATACAATTTAATCATAATTTAAACCACAATTCAATTTAATTAATTAGTTGTTTTCCACACATTTATATATATTTTTTTATTTAAAAATCTCTGGTCTAGTATTTTGTATGACTTTATTCAAAACACATTATACAGTACTTTATGTTATCAATGACTTAACATTACGTCACACAGTATTGTCAATGCATTACAAACCCAACCATTGATTCATTGATAGACTGACTGATCATAACATTGAAACTGACTGCTAGTGTCAGTCCATCACAACTGATCCATACAATTGATTGATTGGTTTTATTTCATTGACTTCAACTGATTGGTTGTCTTCAAAAGTATTTGTCATTATGTCCAATGATAACAACACTTCCTCTTCCTCCACATCTTATATTGGTAAGGCTTTTGATGATTATTGTGTCAATCATTTACTGATACAATGATATGATATTAACAGACAAGAAGGACACCGACACTGATGATGATAAAGAAGACAAACCTAAAGAAACTAAAGAAACTGATGGTTATTATCATTGGATTTATCTATTTGTGTGAACAATCAGATCCTTCTATAATATAAATGTCATTTATTTTTTCAATTGGCCACAGAATTGTCTAAGAAGGACATTATTACCGGTGATGTTGTTTCAGATGAGAGCAGCGATGATGATGAAGAAGAAGAAGAGGACAGCGTATTGTTAAGTAATAATAATAATAATAAGACATTTATTATTGATATCTTGTTTAATGACTTTTGGGATCTATTTCTTATTATTTCTTTTTAGTGCAAAAAATGACTCAATTGTTTGCCAATAAGTTAAGGTTTCAGTCCGAAGATAAAGACAACAAACCTAAAGTTGAAAAAATATTGTCTGAGCCGACCATCGATGCCATTGTTGACTACATAAAGAGTGGCAAATGCAAGAATATAGTGGTTATGGTGGGCGCCGGCATCTCAACAGGTATATACATATACCATACCCATCAATATTTTTAAAAAGATAATAATAACAATTATTTTATTGTTACTGCAAAAAGCTGCGGGAATTCCAGATTTTCGGAGTCCCGGCAGTGGTTTGTATCATAATTTAGCCAAATATAAACTTCCGTCACCTAATTGCATGTTTGATATCGACTTTTTTCGGGTAATTATACTATCATATCATAAATAATTGGTAGACTTTCGACACTTGATTATTAACATTATTATAAATAATTGAAACATTTTTTATTAGAAAAACCCGAATCCGTTCTTTGATTTGGCCAAACAATTATTTCCCGGAAAGTTCTGTCCGACGATAAGCCATATGTTTCTGAAACTATTGAACGACAAGGGATTACTACTGAGATTGTATACACAAAACATCGATACACTTGAAAGGATTGCCGGCATTCCCGGCGATAAGTTGGTCGAAGCTCACGGAACCTTTCATACGTCACATTGTATTGATTGTCACAAAGAATATTCGTTTCAATGGATGAAAGGTTTGTTTGTTTTTTTTTTAAAAAATAGGAAACCATTGTCTATAAATAATTGTGATTTTTAATTTCCCGAAAATTTAGATAAAATCTTCAGCGATTCATTGGTTCCCAAGTGTGACAAATGTGGTGCAACTGTCAAACCAGATATTGTCTTTTTTGGCGAACAATTGCCCGAAAGATTTTTTCGTTTAGCTGATCGTGACTTCAAAATATGCGATCTACTGATTATAATCGGAACATCGCTTACTGTTCAACCGTTTGCCGGACTTGTCGACACTGTTCGGCCACAAATACCCAGACTGTTGATTAATAAAACAAAATGCGGCCAAAGTTCACAAATCTCGAGTCTGTTGGACATTGGTTCGGGTCTTGAATTTGATTCCAAAGACAACTATCGCGATGTACTACTACTTGAAGAGAGCGACAAAGGCTGCAAACAAATGGCTGAATCGCTCGATTGGACTCAAGATTTGAATCAATTTGCATCCAATAAGGATAAGACAAGAGAGTGGTTATAGATATTACGGTAAATTATTTTATCAAATGAATCAAATGTTTTTTAACAAATGAATTAATGGATTTAATAAAACAATTAATTAAATTGTTTTATTATTAATATTGAAACTTTGTTTTGTTATAGCATTTAATTATAAATATATAAAAATAATAATAAAAAGTATATTTTATTTAACGTATGTTTTTTTACGATAATAATAACTTAATCACTGATGAAAATTCTGGACGCGATATCATCCAAAAGCCAATCGATGGCCGACAATAGATTGAGTCCCGTATAGGCAGACGAGCCAACAATTTTCCAGTGATGTGTCTTAATTGAGTCCACTTCTAACAGTTCGCAAATTGTCTGACAATTTAAAGCACCGGACAGATCCTGTTTGTTGGCCAACACTAGCAAAGTTGCGCCCAATAGACGTTCTTCTTGTAGAAGATTTTTTAGCTCCTCTTTGGCATCGTTCAGACGCAAAGTATCTGAACTGTCGACAACAAAGATAAGGCCATCGGTGGCCTCAAAATAGTTGCGCCAAAAGGCGCGCAAACTTTTTTGTCCGCCGACGTCCCATACGTTCAGTTTAAGACTGTAATAAAAAAAATGACAATTATCTCATCAATTGGTTTAACTAAATATCTAAAAACACATCGACTTCGGAGACTTACTTTTTATGTTCAAATGACGATATCGTAAATCCAAGAGTTGGTGATATTGTGTGAACGTCTTCGCCGTTAAGTTTCTTCAAGATTGTTGTTTTGCCGGAGTTGTCGAGTCCTCTGAATAATTAAAAACAAATCACAAATCGTGAACACAAACAATACAAGACATGATAATTATGACTACAATGTATAAGTCATAGTCATTGATTGAAAGAGAGGGAGAAGTGCTTACAAAACCAAAAGTCGGACCTCTTTCTCCTTTTGTTTGATTTTGCGGATTATCTTCAATAAGCCCATCGTTTGACAATAATTACAAGAGATTACAAGACATCAATTCAAATCACTCATCATCGACAATACCATTGAGTTACTATTGCTTATGTTGTTGTTATTGTTGAAAATAATGGGATCAAATTGGGTGATAATTTTTTTTCTTGTATTAGTTAACATCTGTCATATAATACTGTATATTAGGCAATAGAGGGGTCACACATACATACGTACATACATTGTGTGACAATAACATACATACAGTTGAAGATATTAATTATTTTGTTGTCGTTGTTGTTGTCGATGGAAAACAAACACTGGATGTCCACTGTTTTTGTAAGTCATCCAAAGTCATGATTCAGATGATGATAACTATCTGGATGTTTGAATTGATCCACAAAAACAAACAAACTATTAATAATTGAATTATTATTATTAATATCAAAGTATAACGTAGTGTGTGAGTGACCCCCACATGAATAAGCCATGTCTTAATAGACGACAACAACAATAACAATAACAACACAATGTTTGCCACTTATTGTCCGCCATTTGTATCATAAAAGAAATGAAGACCAATGAAGACCTGAAGGCAGACAACAAATCAGTGGCCGAAACAATGGTCTGTATTATCAATGAATTATTAAATGATTGAATTTTGTCTTTTAATTTATTAATGATTTTATATTAAATTGAAATTTAAAAAAAAACAAAAAACAGATTCAAATAGTCGAAGGATGTCGAGTGCCAACCAAAATGAGATACTCGGATGACTGGCGTATGTCTTATTATAGATCCATATCAGTTGTCAATTGATCCCATAAACTGTATTTTGCATTAATTATCTCTTTAAATGATTATCAACATAGCGTTGGCCGAAATCTTGAGTATCCGCGAGACTCCTAATGGAGACACAATGTATTACATTCATTATATTGATTATAACAAACGTCTGGACGAATGGGTTTCAAAAGAACGACTGGATCTACAGAAACTACAATTACCGCGAAAAGAGTCCAAAAGCGTCAACAATCTGAAGAACGGTTCGCGTCCGTCGTCGCCGGAAAGAGAGATTGTATATCTTATATATTGTCATTTAATTTCAATGATAATAACGTTTGTTTTTATCGGTTATTATTATTATTTTTTTTTTTTTGAATGACAGCCGACACCAGACATTGACGCCACACATCACGACTACGCTCTTCAAAGTCAACCCGAAATCAATTCTGTTGTCAAACACGAGTTGTTGCCGCCACTCGAGAATGGCAACACTGGCAACGTCGCCGCCGCCACCGCAGCCCTTTCACCAGTGGCCATACCGCTTAGTGTACCGAAAAAGATTCCGCCGTCTGGCCGAAAAAGAAAGCACGGTTCAATGTCGACACCGTCGGCGCCCATCAACGACGATCATCACGATCACGATTCGCAAGATTCGATGGCACCGCAATTGGCTGCCGGCGCCAGCGGTGCTGTAGTAGCTCCGCGAACCAGCGGTAGTCTAACCGTTCACCACAGCGACGACATTGTTACCAGAATCAAGAACCTCGAGATGTTAGAGCTGGGCCGACACCGTATAAAACCGTGGTATTTCTCTCCCTATCCCATAGAACTGGTATCACTTCCCTGTATATATCTGTGCGAGTTTTGTCTGAAATATATGAAATCGCGTAAATGTCTTCAAAGGCACAGCGATAAGTGTGTGTTAAGACATCCGCCGGGAAACGAAATCTACAGAAAGCAATCGGTATCGTTCTTTGAAATTGACGGCCGAAAGAACAAGTTTTATGCCCAGAATCTGTGCCTTTTGGCCAAATGTTTTCTCGATCACAAAACTCTATACTACGATACGGATCCGTTTCTGTTTTACATAATGACTGAGATCGATGTCCGCGGTTTTCATATTGTCGGCTACTTTTCAAAAGAAAAAGAGTCATCCGAAGACTATAATGTTGCCTGTATTCTGACATTACCTCCCTATCAGCGCAAAGGTTTCGGTAAAATGTTGATCGAGTTTAGCTATGAATTGTCGAAATTTGAAGGCAAAACTGGTAGTCCTGAGAAACCGTTAAGTGATTTGGGATTACTATCCTATCGAAGCTATTGGTCGGAAACCATTTTAGACATATTAGTTAACTTAAAAATTGTCGAACCAAATGAAAACCCGATGATGACTATCAATGAATTATCAGAGTTGACGTCCATCAAGAAAGAGGACGTCATATCAACGCTTCAGTATTTGAATCTAATTAACTACTATAAGGGTCAGTATATCATAACCTTAACAAAAGATGTGCTCAGTGTCTATGAAAGGGCGGCCGCTAAACGAAAGCTGCGGATCGACCCGAAGTGTCTGCACTGGACACCAAAAGATTGGTCAAAACGGGGCAAATGGTGAACACATACACCAATCATTTGTTGTTAAAGAAAAATTATCGATGAATTAAATTAATTTTCAATTTTTTAGTTATTTAACAAATTTTCACATTTTTTTTTGTTTCCCATCACATCTATACACATCTATTATATATATCTTATACTATTGTATAATATATTTAATTAATTTAATGTAAATTTTTTTTAGAACAAATTAAATTAATGTTTTTTATACATAACTTCTTTTAGTTTTTCGGGTATTTTTTTTAATTACCCGACAGTGATATCGGATGAATGACTTTATTGAATGAATTAAAATTGTCTCAAAAAAAATAATTTATATAAACTATTGAATAATGAAAACAATAAGATATTTAATAAAATTTTTTCGATGAATGATTGATTTGAAAACGATTTCTAAAATTTTTGTTTTAAATAATTTGGTTATCAATTGGTGGCCAAAACAGCCGATTCTTGTTGTTTTTGTTTGACTTTTGCCGAACAAATGTCGCCGATATCGTCCACATTGAATATGACCCGAACTATTAGCGAACACGACGGACATCGGGCAACGTCTTCGCCGTTTTCGAGGTCTTCCTATATTTTTTTTGGGAGACAAACAAAGTTAATGATAGGATGTCTTAGTTTTTTTTTTTTTGGTCAATCAAAGTACTCTTGTGATGGCAAAGGTGTCACCGCAAGGACACGGATAGGTGAATGTGTCCGTCTCTTCGTCGTACGTAAAGTCCTCGATCTCGACCTCGTCGTGAACGACGCCATCATCGCCGTCGTCGTTGTCATCTGTCATCACTACTACTACTGCTTTGGGATCAGCTAACACTAGTGTTGTCTATGTATTTGTCAATATCTTCACCAAAAAACAAATGTCACAATAAGTTATGATTTATTTTTTTGATGGCAAACACTGATTGATATTACGTTATACTGTATTAGTAAACAACACGTGTTTTGAATGTATTGCGTAAACAGTGGACTCTTATTAAAGCCAAACAAATAACGTTTTGTTATAATTAAAAAAAAATAATTATTAATATTACTGTAATTTATAATAATTAATATTATAAATGATTTAATTGTAATTAATTTAATAGGATTTTTTTTATAATTTTATTGTTTATAATAATAATATATACCGTTTATACTATAGAATATACAAAATAATTAAATTAACTAGGACAATTATGATTTATATAAATAAATTTTTAAATAAGATTATATTTATTTCAAAATAGTTTATGTGATGATAAACATAAAATTATTAAATTACATTTAGCATAAAATAGCCTTTTTGATAATTTGATATATAATCATAATTGGCCTAGTTCATTAATTTAATTATTAAATATAAGTGTAATATTAATATATATTTTTAGTGATAATGTAAAAAATCCATCTAAAATAGTATTGTTTAAAACTTTTTATTTTTTTTTATTAAATTTATGTTAGCATATGGTATTATTATTAATAATAATTTTTATGTAGATAATTTATCAAGCTAATTCACTAAAGTAATTCAAAATTGCATATTTTTATTATCTTTTTTAATCAAATTATTATATAATGTGTGTTTTGTATGTGACAAATGTAAAGTGTGTTTATATATGGCATAATTGTCCTGGGCTAATTTGATTAAAATTTATAGTTTTATGAATTTAACTGCATATAAGAGATTTGGTAGATAAAATTTAATTTTATAAATTAACCACTTTCATTTATTGACACTATTAAAACTTTTATTAATAACTATTAATACCTTTAGTATATAAAATTCACTTTCTATAAGATTATTAATACAGAGTATAATAAGTTATAACAGTATATGTAAATAATTTTAAAGTTGATTTTATATCATAAATATTGTGCTAGAATTTTATTGAAAATATTGTTTGCTTTTATAAACAGTTATAAATAGATAAAAAAAATCCTAATTGAGGTAATGATAGATTAAATTGAGGTTAAAAATTAGGTTAATATAGAGTATGCAAATGATGCGATAATTGAACCTAATTTCCAAAACAAATAATAACATTGAAATCAAAAGTAATTTTTGCATTTATAAAAGTTAATTCAATTTTTCAATTTAGATGATAATATAAAAACATAATTGAGTTTGAAATGTTTGATGCAGTTTTCTACACCAATTTTTTTATAACTGAATATTATAAATAATTTCTAATTGAATTTAAACACTACAAAAGTGTAGGAAATATTACAATATTGAATTACATACAAATAATTTTCAAAAAAACAAATTTCTAGACAACAATAACTATATAAATATATATATATCGCAAGTGTAGTCATAATTGTACACAATTTTTGGAAACTTATTATTATCTTTGATCGCAATTTTGAAAACTTTTGTCAACTTTTATATATTAGCGATCATTCATATATAACTATAGAGTATAGAAAAATAATCCATAATATATACATATATATATACCAAATGGCTTTGACTTTGACTTTGTAAAACCAACCAGTGTTGGCTGGAATAGCTTAGGGAGGGGGGTTAGTCTATAAGGGATAAGCTATTTGATCTAACAGTGTATAGACAGTTGAGAAAGCAAACTGTTTGGTCACTTGGTTTGCACCTGAAATGTCAAGTTATAGGCCAATCATAATCTGGTCATAACTGCGTCTACACTAATACAGTACTAAACTTAAAAGCCCTTTTTTTCTTACTCTCAACTCATATATGCTGATCAGTTAGTTATTTATTGGGCTCAGATATCATTTGACTCATCTGTGTCTAACATCACTAAAAGTTTTTAGCCTTAAAATATTTTCTAAAATCAGTCTACCAGTGCTCTCAAACATTGTCTCATCCCAGTCGCCACACATATTGTTAAAAACGTTTTTAACCTAAAAGTTTTTATTATTTTTATTTCTATATTTTTTTATACATTGATTTATTTGAAAATATAATTATTTTATAAAAATAAAACAAACAAAATGTTTAATCTGTACGCCTCGTGGGACAGCTATGAGGCCGACGAAGACGTGGCCACCGATGGTGACCGATGTGTAAGTGTTAAAAAAAATTTTTTTTGTGATTGTTTTGTATTTAATTGACAACAAAATTAACAAAAAAAATAATTAATTAATAAAATTTTTAGGTTTCTTTGGCATCATTTCGTCCGATGGAAATCATATGTGATAACAGTGTACCCATACAACTGTCCACACAACCGTTGACACCAAATATTATTAATAATAACAATAATAATAATAATCATCAGAAAAGTGTTACTGAAATCAATGAGCTAAACAACGTGAAGACGACAACGACGACAACGTCTAGAGATGTCCCACAGGGGTTGTCTTCATTACCAATGGAAAAGTTTGGATCACTTGTGCCGGCCGTCAAAGCAACAGACGTTGTCTATAGCTATGGAAAGAAGAAGAAAACTGTTAATGCATTGCAAGGAATTAATCTGACTGTTCCTCAGGGGTTCATGTAATTGATGAGACACTACTGACAAATATTTTTTTCAATAACGAATGTCTTATTTTTGTTTAGTTACGGTCTTCTTGGACCCAGTGGTTGTGGAAAGACATCACTGTTGAGATGTGTTGTCGGAAGAATTAGCCCGAAGAGTGGCGAAATCCGAGTCTTCGGCACAAAACGTGGAGAAGCTGGTAGTCAAGTACCCGGCGCTGCCATTGGTTATATGCCTCAAGAGTTGGCATTGTTTCCCGATTTTACTCTGGAAGAGACACTTAATTATTTTGGAAGACTTTATCGTATGAAAGACTCGGTGATTGCAAAACGATCAGAATTTTTGCTAAACTTCTTAGACTTACCGGAAAAGCGCAGACTTGTCGGTAACTTAAGCGGTGGTCAAAAACGTCGGGTTTCGTTGGCCGCTGCACTCGTTCACAATCCGCCGTTACTTATATTAGATGGTAAATTGAAATTTATAATTACTATTATATATATATCATAAATAATAATATTAAATATACTGTACTAATGATATTCAAAAGAGCCTACTGTTGGTGTGGATCCACTGCTGCGACAAAGTATTTGGGATTATTTGGTAACATTAAGCAGAAACGAAAGTCTGACAGTCATCATAACCACCCACTATATTGAAGAGGCCAGAGCTGCCAACATAGTGGGACTCATGAGATTTGGTCGCATACTTATTGAACAGACGCCTAAGTATCTGTTGAGACGTTTTAACTATCCGACTCTGGAGGAAGTGTTTCTTCGAGTTTGCGAACTCGACTCGCAGGGCATTGATCTGACCAATCAAATAGAAAGAGAGGGATCTGTTTCAGTCGTCACCAATAATAGACCAGACATTTGCTACGATGTTAATAAAGAAGATTCGATAAACTCGACAATCGGAAGCACCGAAGCTATTGACAGCGCTGTCGAAGACTCGGACTACAGTGTCCGAGACAATCAGGAAGACATTGTCAAAGATTTGACTCTAACTGATACAGTTATCAACAGATACGCTGATATGTCGACAAAAAGCAATGCGCTTAAGGACAGTGCGGCCCGTACTTCGGCGTTGTTCTGGAAGAATATCACTCGTTTGCGACGAAATCTAGCGGTTCTTTTGTTCCAATTTCTTCTGCCATCGATCGAAGTGATCCTATTCTGTACGTGCATTGGTCAACACCCGTTTGATATACCGGTTGCCGTCTTTAATCAGGAAACTTCCGGCCAATACGCTACCGATTTTTTGCAACACATCGACAATAAAACTATTGTTCAGATGCCGTATCCGTCGTTTGATTCGGCACTACAAGCGGTGAAAGACGGCGACGCTTGGGGTGCGCTCGTCATCGGCAAAAATTTTACCAATGCTTTACAAATGAGGTATTATTATTATTATTGGGAAAATATTATAATTATTAATACAATAAACTTATTTATTAATGTTTTTTAGAGTTTTGATGTCCGGGGAGGTCGACAACGAAACACTGGAGATGAGTAACATTCATCTGTATCCCGATATGACCAGTAAGTTCTTCGGGCGATAAAATTTAATTCTTGAATTGGTTAGCAAATAATATATCAATAAACTATTTACAGATCAGATGATTAGTCTAAAACTGTACGAAACAATTACACTATCATTCTTGAGTTTTGGCAGAGAAATGCTTCAAAAGATAGGTCAAAGTTCATCAATGGTTGAACTTCCAATTGTGGTACGTTGTGTTTAAAGATATAATAATTATATATAATTTAATTAATTAATTTTCACCCAAAGTTGGAAAAGCCTGTCTATGGAGAGCGGACGCCCACTTTCACCGAGTTTATGGCACCGGGAGTTGTACTGAGTATTGCATTTCTAGCAGCCGTTGCTCTGACAGCTCTGGCCTTTGTTATGGAACGCAAAGAAGGTCTACTCGAACGTAGTCTTGTAGCCGGTATTAAACAAATATTAAATGTTTTGGATGTCTATCTATGGGATCTAATTAAACTATTTTCCAGGTGTCAGTTCCAGCGAATTCATGCTCTCACATGTCTTAACCCAACTACTAGTTCTGTCAGTACAGGTGGCTCTGCTCTTGATATTCACATTTCTCGTCTTCGAGATACCATTTCGCGGACCATTCATTTGGGTTATAGTGTTGACACTGCTTCAGGGATCCTGTGGTATGGCCTTCGGACTGATGATATCTGCCATCTGTGAAGAAGAAAACTCGGCCACAATGTTGGCTTTGGGCAGCTTTTATCCAAATCTTCTACTTGTAAGTGACTTCTTGTAGAAGATCTCTCTTTGTCTTAAAATTATGGTTAATAAAAATGAAAAAAACTCATTTGCCTTTACAGAGTGGAACCGTTTGGCCGACACAAGCGATGCCAGAGTTTATCCGCTATTTTAGTTATTTATTACCGCAAACCATACCAATCGGTTAGTTTTTTGATGAAAATTTTTATATTAATTTAAATTTGATTTATTTTTGTTGTTGTTGATATCAAAAACAGAGGCCATGAGATATATACTATCGCGCGGTTGGGATCCATCCTATAAGATCGTGGCACTAGGTTTCGGTGTGACCATCATTTGGATCACTTTCTTTTTGACAATGGCTGTCATTATTTTTAAATATAAAAAATAGTTTTAAATCATAAATCATTATTAATATTTTATTTTTTTTAATTATATACATAGTTATCATTTTTAAAAAAAAATTATATATATATGTATAATCTCAAATGTTTTTTATACACAATTTTTTTTATTATAAATTTTTGTTAAATTTTATTTCAAATTATATTTATGTATATAGTTTTTCAGTCAAAATACACAAACAAAAAAACAAAAAAAAAAGTTAGAAGAAATCTTGAAATAACATAAAAAAAACCCTAAACTTATATCAATAAAATAAAACTGATTGAAAAATGTTTTCAATTACATAATAATTTAGTTATCCTACTAGTGGTGACAATAGTCCTCTTAAAAAAAATTGTTGTGTCAACCCATTAATGCTACTCTTTTTTTCTATGAAGGAACCACTGGCACAACAATTAGGAAATACACTATAAATCATAATATATATATAATACCAGTGCTCTCAGCTATGGTGTGAGTCACACATACACTAAATGATATCATTATAATTGTGGGAATTAAATGAAGAGCAAAACACAACAATTTTTTTATTGTTGTTATTATTATTTAATCCAAACAAGTGATGCATTCAATGGAAACATTTGGATGCTTTGGCAACGCTATCACAAGTTTTTTTTTTTTAAAACAAATTATATTATTATTATTTAATTATTTTAGTTGAAATCCATTCAACTTGTTTGCCAACCAATGGGAAACTGTATGTTCTGGTGATGTACGAGTAGGAGTAGCTCATAGTGATTGGGTATGTTTACAGGTAATATAGCTATCAGGTGTGTGTGTATGTGTAGGGGAACGAGGTGTGAGGAGAGGTGCTGTGTTGAGGTATGCCATGACTTTCTGGCACTGGTATATTGAAGGGCGTCGTCCAGTATAATCAACTTTTTTTTTGTATACACAACTTGCATATACACAGTACACAGTATTTTATATTATATTATATTAATATGCAAACTATCTTAAAATTTAATTAAAGTGAACAATAAATATGATGGATGTGAATATATTATAATTTTTATTATATAACAATCACCAAGCAGTTTTATATATATGATATTAGTTATTATATTGTATTAGTATTAACTGACATATTGTTGTCTTAAAATTATATATATATATATATATACATCGCAACTGCCAAACAACTGTCTGAGTGTGGAAGCGTTTATTTGGTGATAATGTTGCGCAACGCCGACGTCTCGTATTCAAGTATAGCCCCGACCCGTGGATCAGATAATAGTCAATGTTTGTGTTGCTTCTGCACGTGGCACTGCTCGCACTGCAAGTGTAAGTGTGCGGCCGCTTAATCCAATGTCACAACTGTGTCGCACCAGTTATCTGTTGTGTTCCGATCCCTTTTCCTCCCTTCCCTTCCAAAAAAAACATCAACTGTCCCTCACTTATAGAAAGTTAATATATATGCTAATGTCATTCATATGACTATATGTACTAAATATTAAAAAAAAACTTTTTTATTTTTAGTGAACTAATTTAATCCAATGTCGCTAAATTATATACTGATATATTAGATGTTAAAGAAACGTTATATTGTGTGCTAAACTAGCCGTAAAGTCATAATTGCATGCTATATACTTTATATACAGTATATACACTATTTATATATAATTTATATATCCGTTAAAGAAATAATAATATTATTATTAAGTTAATTGTTGTCCAAATTTTTTTGACCAATCGATTGTCCCTCCAATATGATAGCCTGTTGTAGATCATGTTTCTTGAGACTGCCGTACGGAACCATTACATCGACCATTTTGGGTGCATTTGGCCTTATAATGGCCATCATATCGATCCTTCACTCGACAACTATAGCCGATCGTTTGACTCATGATCTCATTCGCAGAAAGTATTATTGGTTAGTGTCTGGGAATCGATTGGGTGATGATATCCTTTTATACAGTTTATTAGAAAAAAACTTATTATTTTTTTACTCCAAAATAGGTTAAGCGATCTGAAAGTTTGGTACGTGGTTTTGGCCATATTCTTGTCGGTGATTATTGTAATCAATTTGTTTATCGGATTCGCCACCACTGGAAAAACTGGGGCCAAGAATGGAAAGTCGTGTCGGACGTGTGGCTGCAATCGTTCATCGACTACAACGTGTCTCATAAAGACTATATTTGTGGTCAATTACATACTGTTCTATCTGCTACTGGTGCTGACAATTGTCGTTTTGTTGACACTATTTATTTGCTATATGCTAAGCAATCTGTGCAATGAAGGCGCCCATATGATTATCGACCCTCAGAATGCCAACTGGCCCTATCCGACCGATACCCGTGCCGGCCAGTCGGCCCAATATATCGATTTGCGACAGTTTTCGCCGCTACTGTCGTTGCGTTCAAATGAGACACAGTATATGTATTTCAAAGACGATAGGCTGAAAAAATTGTGCGGCGATTATGTGTCCGCCCTGTCCTTCTACATAGTCCTGTGCGCCATAGGAATGGTAGCCCTGTGTTCAGCGTTTCTCAACTTTTTGATCAATTTATCCGTTAATTGGGTACGAATCGGTACCAAACAAAAGTACGCTGAGCTCATGTATCTGAATGGAGCAGAGATGACAGCATTTAATGACGGCGCCGCCGACCATAACAGTCGCTATTGATTTAACATTGTTTTATGCATTTGTTTTTTATATATATATAAAATAGACAAATTATATTTAATATAAATTTAGTTATATTTACACTTTTAAACTAATATTTTGTATAATATATATGTATTATATTATCCAATGCTCATTGAATACATTGTATTTTAACTTTTTTTATATGGAAAAAAAAGTTTTTTGTCAAAGTTTAGATAATATATTTATATTTTAAAGTAATATATAATATATTGATTTATATAAAAGTTATTTATAAATTTTTTTTGGAGAAAAGTATAAAATATTCATAAGTATTATATAATATATGCAATAATTGTATTTATTATTATTATTAACTTTTTTAGAGAATATTTGCTAATAAATAGAGAATATTCTATATATATATTGAATGTTACATTCAATAAATTCATTGTTCAAAAAACACATTTAAAAAATAAAAAATATTTACATTAAAATAACATTGTAACATAAAATAGTAATTTTCAAAATTCATAAAAAAATAATTAGAAATGTATAATTAAGTTATAATTATATATAAAAACAGTATAAAAACAATAATATAACAACAAAATAAAATCATACAAACAATTAATTATTATTTAGTAATACAATTAATTAATTAATTTTTAAAACTTAAAAAAATAATTAATTAAGTAATCAATAGGCAGTTGCGGCAAAAGTTTTTTGAGATTCGTGTGGAATCTGATTGTTGGTTGTCCTCAGATAAGGACTGTTATATTTTGGTTGCAATAATGCAAACATTGTGGCGCACAGGGCGTCCAAATCATACTTATGACTCCAACCCCATTCTCTACGGGCATTGATGTCATCTAAAATTTGTGGCCAACTATCAGCTTAAAACAATAAACAAATTTTTAAATATATATCATTAGAAACATAATATAATAATAATTATTATTATTTTTTATGTCATAAAATTCAATACCAATTTGTTGTCTGGCGTCCGGTTTGTAAGTCACCTGAAACTGTGGTACATATCTCTGGATGGCAGCGACCAACTCGTTAGGCGTAAAACTAATAGCATTCACGTTATATGTCCGCTGTTTTAGTTTGTCTTCTGGTGTCTCCATAATAGTAACCAATGAGTTGAGACAATCGTCGATATACATCATCGGTAGTCTGGTATCGGGATTCAAATAGCACTCATACTTAGCAAACTTCAATGCATCGTGAAATATAGAGACGGCATAATCGGTGGTTCCGCCGCCAGGATTAGTGTCAGCAGATATGACACCAGGAAATCGTAGGCAACGAAAATCCAGACCAAACTTTTGGCAATAATACTAAAACAAAGAACAATTGAAATTATATTATAGTTAGTTATATAAACTTATATTATATTTAAATATTGTTTAAATTACTTCTCCAATGAGCTCTGCGTGCACTTTGGACACACCGTATATAGTTTGCGGGCGTTGGACACAAAAATCTAGAGTTTTCAAAATAATTATTATTTTTATTTTAATACCAGTGCTTATTGTATAATACCTGGAGTTGACGGTACTCTCTGTGATGTTGGCCCGAAAGCGCCGATAGTGGACGGCACGAACAGTCTTAAGTTGTACTGACGGCTCAGCTCCAGTACATTGTGCAGACCCTCGATGTTGACCCGCATGGCCAGCGGTACATTATACTCGCCAACCGAACTGAGTAATGCACTAAAATGTATTAACCAATCGATCCGATGATTGACGACAATCTCTTGCAGGTTCTTGAAGTCCATGATATCGGCGTAAATGAATGGTCCGCTTTCGACAATATGTTTGGGCGCCTTCACTATGTCCGACATAATTACGTTTTCGGTGCCATACTTTTCTCTAATATTTTTGTTTGTTTGATAATTTTATTTTAGATATTAATTGATTTTATTGTTACAAAAACCAAGTGTATGCTAATTATACGGACCTCATAACTTTGGCCAGTCCAGTGCCTAACTGACCCAAACTACCTGTAGTTTTTTTTGTTTATAAATTAAAATGCAATATTTTAGAAATGTTATTTTGATTTAATCAAAAATTATTAAATTATTTTTTTTTTGGATAAATTCTTCCTTGAACTTGAAATTTTTAGCAAAAAAAATTATAAATATTATTATTATTATTATACTTATTATTTTACTTATATTTTTTTATACTTATATTTTATACTTATATTACTGTATTATTATTTAATGTCTTTAAGGGGGGAATTTTTTTGCTAATTATTATACTTACTATAAGTATTATTATTATTATTATTAATTAATTATTTTATGTTTTAAGGTATATGTATTGTCAAAGACAAACATCACCTCATATATAGTCTGACATTTTAGTAAAACTCCTAATACTGTACTATATGTGCACTAATATGTCCTTCAATTAATGATTTTCATAATGATTTGTATTTTTAATTTTATTATTTTTTTGTGGTTTGATTGGGAGTTGAAGGAGACACGTCTTGAGAGACCAATTGTATAGTGATTTAGTTTTTTTTAATAAAATAAAATAAAATATTCCTCCAAAATGCTGTTACTAACTATTATAACTTACTGTACAATATTAATATATATATATATATATATTCTACTATTACTTATTAATAATACCTGTATATCAATTTTTATATACAGTACCTGTAAAAATAATTATGTGTTTTTTGTTAGATTTACGGTATACACTGTATACAGTATTTAGTTATTAATAATGTATATAATATTTTTGTAATGTTATGTAATATTGTAATTTATTTTATAATTTAAAGTATTATTAGTATAAAATTATATAATGATCTTTTATTACAGATTTTTTTTGCGATAAAACTTATTTAATTATTTTCCTAATGATATAGCAATTCTTAAGGAATATTTCTTAAGTAGTGATTCATTATATTTTTTGCTAAAATAAAAAATATAATTATTTAAATAATTGCAAGTATTGTTTGGCTAACAATTTTTTAATAGTTCACTATTATAGAATAAAATAAATTTATTGTAGTATTTAAAAAATTAATTAAAACCCATATTTGTCAATATTAAATGTTTTTTAAAACTATTTATAAAAATATTTAGATAGATATTTCAAATTTAAGATTTATATACATTTTATTTCAAAATATTAGTAATTTTTTCTATCTATTTGTCTAATAAATTGTTATAACAAATATACACCAATCTTTTTTAATTAAATTGCATATATAGTAATTTATTGATTAATTTATTTATTTATCTATTGAATAGATGTCAAGTCATATTAAATTATGTCAAATCATTAAAAACAATTATTTGTAAAAATAAGCATTTATTTAAAATGTGTATAGATTTAGCTATAATATAAAAATAACAGAGCTATAAATATTTAAAATTATAACCACATAATTATTTATCTAATTGTTAAAACAGTTAAAACTTTTGTGTAATTTAAAAAAAACTCTGTTATTAATTTATAGTTTAATTTTACAAATATTTTGCTATTTAATTTTAAATTGATCTGAATTATTAATAATATAGTAGTTTATACCTATAATAATAATAATAACACAGTATGAACTTAAATAATAAATTTAGACGATATGTTTAAAATAAATTTTAAGTAAAACAATACATTATATTAAAACCCTTAATTATCATAAAAATTATAAAATTACTATTATTTGTAAATTACTATAAAATTGATGACGTTTATAATAATAAAATTGCAATTTTAAAAATTTTACTTAATATATAATTTTTTGAAAGTAAAAGTAAACAAACTACAAATTAATTTATTAAAGTAATTATTTAAAATTATTAAACTTAAAAAGTTAAATAAATTATTTAAAATTTTCATATATTAATATTTTTCATTAAGTAAAAATAAAATCAATAAAGTTTATATAAATTTCAGCATTTAATACACAATTTGTTCAATATATTTAACTATAACTTTTTTTTATTTGATAAAACTTGTTATTATTTAAGTTTATTAAGATTTTACATTAAAATTGAAATAACAACTCACCAGTAATTAGTACTTTCGGAGGACTCCTATTATATGAAACCATTTGATGATTGAATCTGATCTGAATTTTTGCCGAATTGTTGGCAATATTCTTGACATTAATTAACTGTTTGTTAATTAATTGGTTCAGAATATTCTTTCCATTCATTATGATATTTGTGTACATATTTTGTTTGACAAAACTTTTAATATCAGTTAATTAAAAAACAAACAAATTTGTTTTGTCAAAGAAATTAAGTGCCGATACAAGTGATGACTTGAAAGTTAGTGACTGAAAGTCTCTGTCAATCCTAAAGTAAAATTCAATTCAATTCAATAATATTTTATATTATATATACATATATCTATACTATCTATTTAGTTGCGAATTAAGGCTTAACTATTAAATTATATTTAATAATATATATTGTATGTAAAAAATACGTCATAATTGCGTGGATCGGCATTGAAACTAAGCTCCCGGCGCTTTCAGAGCCTAAATACCTGCGCTTTTTATTTTTAAGAAAAACAACTATTACAAAAAACTTTATTACTAAATCATTTAATGTTAATTGAAAAATACACTAAAAAAATCTAATATATAATTTTATACAATTTAATATTTTTTGATGTAAATAACAACACTTTACTACTAATGTTTAGGTAATTGTCATTAAATAAAAAAAAAGTTTAAAAACTATGTTTTCCTAATAACTACAGCACTTGTAAATAGCATCACATGATATTAATATTAAAACAGTAGAATAATTTACATTTGAAAACATTTGAGAAAATAGTTTTATATCTATATAATTATTTTTAAAAAAAATAAAAATAAATAAATGATACTAGCAATATTAGTAATAAATAAATATTTTATTTGTTTATTTTTATTAAGATTTTTTTAAAAACATTAAAATATCTAATATATATTTAATTATTTGCTAAATTATTAATTATTATGATTGATATATTATTAATAAATATAACAATAATTATCTAATACAATAATTAAATTAGTATCAAACTAAATATATTAAAAATTTATATAGTTTAATTTTTTTTATTATTAAATTTATAAATTTCACTTTTATGCTCAATAAAAAAATTATTACTAATATACTAAACAAATAATAATAAATATAAAATAGTAAGTATATTATAAAATATATATTGTGACCTAATTTGAATATTTAAATATAATAAAAAATTTAATGTATAATAATAATAATAATGTAATAATTATTTAATTGATAAAAATCTACTGTTTCCCGCAATTACAGGTATAAACTAATTATAGTGTACATATTATAATTGATATTAATTGATGTTATATAATTGATATTTTGATAATTTATGATAATTATGCATGCTACTTTATGTATATATATCAAATTAATAATAACAAAATTAACATACAATTTTTAATAAAACTAATATTAATTTCCTGTTTTCGTGTCAATAATTTCAAATTATTACAATGTTATTAAATTTACATATAATGTTAATAAATATGAATCAATAAATATCCAAACAATATTAAACAAAATTAATGTAATGTAATTAATTATAAGTATTGAATTGTAAGCAAAGTTTTTATTTTTTATTTTTGCTAAAACAATCGATAAATAAAATAATTTTATAAAATAATGGCGCAAATCGTATGAATTTATTTAATACAGAAAAAAAACTTTAAAATAATTTACAATATTAATTATAATAATAAAAAAAAATAATTACAAACATTTTTTTGGATAAATTATTGACTATTATTATTATTAAATTATGATTAAATTAAATCCAATAATTATTTTCAAATTAAATATTTCTCATATGTATTAAAAGTTTTTTGTAATAATTTCCAAATTTTCCAAAACTTTAACGTTATTTATGAACAGCAGTACTGTTTGTATGGCATTCATATTATAACCCAAAAGTATTGTATAAACTATTAAAATAATAGATTGAAAGCCATAGAAAACAAAACAAAAATAAACAGTTGTTTGATATCATTATTATTATTATTATTATTATTATTATTATTATATCCATTGATAACTCGTGACCACCAGATAATGGCCAACACATCTGCCGTCGCCTCATCCGGTAAACTAGCGAAACCACAACTACGCGGTTACGCCCAGCGCTATGTCCGCCGCCATCTGATCGGTGCCATCACACTATCGATGGTCGGAGCCATTGCCTGGAAGTACTTAGTGGCCGAACCACGCAAACGACGATACGCCGAGTTTTACTCGTAAGTCTTCAGCCTTACCACCTGTTTGTTGCCTAAAGAGATACCACTTCTTCCAGTTTTTTTGTTGTTGATATTATTGTCTAATGAATTGATTTTTTTCCCGATTTCTTTATCACCAATTGAACAGCACGTATGACGTCGCCAAAGAAGAGGCACGACTTAAAAGTCTTGGTCTTTACGACAATCCCTTTCCGTTTGATGACTAAAACGTGTGTTTGTCTTGAATGGCCTTTAAATTTGGTCATCAATTGATCGGTTTATTAATGAGTTTTTTTAGATTAAGATATATATTGCAGACTATATGTAGATTTGATTTGTTATTAATTTTTGTCCCAAAAAATTACTTATAATTAGTGTTCATTAATAATTAAATAATAAATTTATTAAAAAAATATATGTTTTAATTCAATTGATTAATAAAATAAAATATATATATATTAGTTAATTGCAAGTTTTATTTACAACTATTGCATTATTATTTGAATGTTTGTTTTTTTAGTTTAGATATATTTTTATTACCGGTAATAATAATAATATTCAAATTTCTATATTAAAATTATATGAGAAATATTATAATAATAATAATAAAATTCATATAAATTATAGTCAATAAAATAAAATATTATAATTATTATTATTACACAATAGCCATGAAATGTTAAGCGCTATTGTATTAGTGATAATAACCAAAGTGACTGATGATTATATTTGTATTATATTGGTTATTAAAAACAACTAAATTTAATTTATTATTATTATTATATATATATATTGCAAAAATATTGTATTCAGTTAAGTAGATTTATTAAATAATATTATTTTTATTAATTATTAGTTGAGCAATAAAAGTAACTACCCTGATGTAATTATTATCGCTAATAATTTTGGTGTGAATTTTGCTTAGAGTGGTCATCTAAAAAAATTAAAAAATAAATAAATCGATTTTGAAACTCATTTATCATCAAAAAAAATATTTAATTGTCAAACATTATCATCTGAATATTTTTGTGGCTTATTTAAAAAAATAAAAACAATTACAAATTATTATTGTAATTATTAAAAAACAAATTATTTGAAATTGTTGTACAAAACCATTTTACGGTTTTTTGCGGAATTTAGAAATTTAATGAACTCTAATTTACTATTTTTTAAAGTAACAAGGTAAAATGAATTTGATTTTTAGTGTTTTTTTTGGTGTAATTATTTCAGTATATCACCCATTGAATGGGATAGTAAGGTAATTATAATTCACTGTTAAAATAAACTATTTAAACTAAAAAATCTAAATTTCATTGTGATAGGCAATTGATACAGATAAGTATATATGATTTAAAAAAAAACTGTTTCCAAAATAATGCAGTAAACAAAAAACTAAAATCATATATAATTTTTTTTACAAAAATATGTACATTTAATTACCGGTTTATTAATATAAATTGTTGTATTGATAAAAGCTTACTATAAATATTTGTTTAGATTTCCTATATTTTGTTTTCCTTTATTATTGACTTTTAGAGTAAAGAAATTATTAATAAATATTTTTTTTATAGATAAAGTTTGTCAACTTATATTCAATTTATCAAACAAAAATAAATATATAAATTTACTGTATATTATAATAGCTGTATAATCTATGTAAACCATATATACAAAGTAATAATAATAATAATACTATAATATTCATAATATAATGACCTTTTTATGCATATGTTGTATATATTCTATACTATAGAATATACAATAGAATATTATTAATATATTATTAATATATTGTATATTAAAATAATTTTTTTGTTAATATATTTAAATTGTATATTTTAATAAACAGAGTAACATATAGTAGTTTTTTGATAATTTTTTTATTTGATTATAAGTTTATATATTTTTTATATATATATTTATATACAGTTAGATTTTATTAAATTATTCAAAAGTATATATTATGTACATATTAATATTATTATTTAACAATATATAATTTCAAAATATCAATTGTTTATAAAACTTTAAATATTAATCATACAAATATTTTTCTTTAAATAAAATTATTATTTTGTTTTTTTTCTCTAAATAAACTGAATTTATAGATGGTGGTGGTGGTGGTGGTGATGGTGGGGGGAGGGGTTGGAAAAAATGAGTGGGCAATTTTCTAGTTTCACTAATTTAATTAATAACATGTAAAAATTTTTAAATAGTAAACAACAAAATATATTTTTTATATAAAAAAATTAAACATTAACTCATGAAATGTTTCAGAGTAATTTTTGTTAAAAAAAACATTATAATAATTAATAATAATAGTAATAATTGTGTTAAACAAATTGTAGTAATAATAATAATAATAAATGCAGTGAAAAACTTATTCATTATTTAAAAACTAATGGCAACAAAAATTTTTTTATACAATTATTATTTCTCAACAGCAATATATATATATAAAGCACTTTTATATTAATAATAATTTCATTAAAAATAAGCGGTAAAACAATTATTGTCAAACATTATCTACAAAAAAAATTGTGACTATTATCTACAATATGTATTTATGGATGAATATTAACATCAAAAAATAATATTTTGTTGTTTGCAAAAAACTAGTGATAATTGTTTGGAGAAATTATGAACTTTCTCTTCTAAATTAACAATAATAATAATAATACTAATACTCGCCATAAACTATCGATAAATAAAAAAATCACAAACAATTTTTGGATATAATGTTTGACTAAAAAAAATAATTTCATTAAAAGAGGGTAAAATGATGCTTTTTTTTATTGAACAAGGTTATAATGAGTTATGAGGGGGCGGGAGGGCTGCTCGGGAAAGGTAGTTCATCAGTGTTAATAATGTTGTAATAAAAATATAGGTCATTTAGAAAGAGAGAGAGACTAGTAGTTAATGTTTAAATAAATTTCATTTTTTATTAAAACAATTATATATTTTATGATATATATATACACCACAAACAATGCGTTTTTTCGTGTGTTAAAAATGTATTTTTTATATATAATATATATTTATTTATATATGTTGTGACTGTTAGTCAATGCAATTTATTATTATTTATTTATTTTTGTTTTTCACTGACAAATGCATTGTCAACAATGGATCGCAACACAAGTGAATGGATAGACCGAAACCTAACATTTTTTAATCAAAAAAAATTATACATTTTGTTTGTTTGTTTGTCTGGTCTGATGTTTTCATGCATTTTATATACAATAATTGGCCCCAAAATAATTCATAATTGAATTGAACCTAAATTTACTATTTTAGGGACAATTATTGCATAATTATGTTAGGTTTTGGTCAATAATATAACAAACTTTTTAATGTTTTCTCACAGATCCTCATCGATCTTTACAAATGTAATATACAATTAATATAATTTTTCTCTGTTTTCAAACATATATTGCAATTTTTTCAGTTTATATAATTAAAATTTTTAATAATCTTTTTCTTTTTAAATCATCTAAATATTAAATATTGTTTTGTAAAAATTAATTTAAATAGGTAAACAATTTTAAATTAATAAAATTTGATGATATTAATATATATAAATTATATATATATATATAATATTTATATAATTTGTTATTTACAAGTATTTATTTTTTTTTTAATTATTTTGTGTGGATTGCGATCATAACTCTCCACATACACACTCACACACACCACTCACCCGCGCGTGTGTATGTATGTATGTGTATGTCTCTATACTTGCAAACTTGTGTGGAGTAGTAGTAGATATCTAAAAAAAATGGTAACAAAGACATGGTGTTTGGTGTATGGATGCATTGGTCGATCACTTTACAGAAAAAACTGATCCCAATGCCCTCCCCCTCCCAAAATCAATCACTATGTCGGTGAATTCATTTGAATTATTGAATAATTATTTTGAATGATCGGCCAATTTGTATGATTGGTGTGATTTGTATGGTTTTTTATATGATTCTCAGTAATACACGCTTTCGTTAGTATGGCGTCACCATTGGGTACGTCTATAGATGATTGCGAGGACACATCGGTACCAGACTTTCCTAATCCCGAATCGGTGTCCGACGAGTGTTGGTTGTCCTTACCATTACTCCCTGTATCGGATAGACTTCGTTCAGAGTTACCGCCGGCTTCCGATCCCGTGTCCATCTCTGGGAATATGGCAGTCGGCGACGGCCTATCGTCTTCCTCTTCGTCACTCATTGGCTCTAAAAGACCAGTGAATGGATTGATTAAATGCTTGGCTTTTCCAGACATCGATGTTGTTGTCGTCGTAGTTGTTGTTGCTGATGTTGGCGGTGGTGTCATATCATTCACATCATTGTTTGATTTATTACTACTAATCACAACAACATCTGATTCACTAATTTTATTATTGGTTTCAGATGCCAACGATTTATTTAACAATTCATGGTTAGGGCTGGCAATACAGTTAGGACTAGACTGTGATTTATCATCGTTTTGTAGATTAGCCTTTATATTAGCCGTTGAATTACTTATTGTCACAAATAATGGTTTCAATAATTGCGTGGTCGCTATTGGAGGCGAACCGACGTTAGTAGCCGTGAGTTGTGGCCGTAAAGGCAAATGACCCCCTCTCACAACCTGTGGCTGCCCCTGGGCTTCGGGGTGTATTGATGGATATCTGCAAAAAACAAATACATAACCATTAAATATATATAATTATCATTAAAAAAACTTATTGATCATTGATGATGACAAACCTGGACATTGAGTTGATAGGAATACTTATTTTATAAATTTTGAATGTTTTGGTTTGCACTTGTTGTGAGCCCATTGTCGGCGACGGCGACGACGACTGCGTTAATGACTGCGACTGAAGCAATGGATTGGACGGCGGCAAGCATTTTGGTGATGAAGAAGCGCTGGCAATGGTCGACACAGTTGTCTGTAATACACTCGTCGGTATCATAGTCTGTGTTATATCATTTGTATTTATAACATAAGCTGACGATTCGTTACAAGTTTCCGGTATGTCTTTCTTTTCTTTCTTCTCCTGTGTCTCTTGTCTTGACTTTCTACTGATCCGTGGCTTTCGTTTGTGTGCCAATTCGGTCGTATGATTTCGTTTGTGTCGATTGACTACTGTATTATTATTATTATTATTGGGCGCCGACGTCACTGTTGTGTGTGGCGCGCCCTTTATGTGTCCCGATGTGGCGTCACTTTGTAATAGATTCACAAGAAGTGGACTCGTGAGCGCAACATTGACTGATGCGCTGCTGCTGTGAACAGTTGAAACACTTGGTGGCTGAGTTGGATGAGACACATATGTCGGCGCCGTTGCCGTTGTCAATGATAATATCGATCGACAAACATTGACATTCAAATTATTATCATCTCTTGAGGTTGTCGTTTGAGGTTTTGTTGGCAATGAGATAACAGTAGTCGAACTAACGTTTGTGTTGGTGGTGAGGGATGGTGTTGTTGTGGTTAATATGGTCGTTGCCGAACTATTTTGCGGTAATAATAATAATTGGTCTGTTGTTGGTATTGTTGTTGTTGTTGTTGTTGACATTATTGTTGGTGTTGCTGTTGTTGTGGTGATAGTGGTCTGACTGATATTCAATGGCAAGCAAACCGAAGGCGCACTTGTGATCACATGATTAAACTTTTGAACCTTTGGTGTATTACTGGAAGGGTGTCCCGGATGATGATGTTGTTGGTGGTGGTGGTGATGGTTGAACCCTTGTTTTGTATGCATAGCCTGATACTGCATACTAGCGAAGGGAAATAATCCATAATTTGACTGAACATCACGTGTAGTCGGCGATGCATTCGTTATGGTCGGCAGCCGTGCGGCGGCGGCTGCTGCAGCGGCCGCCGCCCCCGAGGCGATGCCGTTGTTTGAGACAACTGACAATGTGGTGGCAGTCGATAAAACACTAGTCGTTACCGTTGTGTTGGTGCTTAAGAAGGGTATCGGTTCAGTGTTGACGGGTGCGACCACATTAGGCGAACAAAAGGCAGGCAAATCGCGACTCGTGGATGGGCTGGGGTTAGGGTTGTTGTTGTTGGTGACGATAGTAGTGTTGTTGTGATTATTGTTAGGTCCGGGACTGTGATTCGGGCCGCGAACTACAACATTGTTCACCACATTCACCTGTTGTTCACTTAAATATTGTGCTATATTTTTACGGGTAATCTCTACACTGGACACACTACTACTCGAAGGCGAATAATTGTAATCATTGTTAGACGACTCGGCCAGCGATGAGACGACACTACTGGAAGTCACGCTATTGTTTAAAATAGTATTTGTATGGTTCACAACACTATTTGTTATAGTAATCGGCGATGAGTTGACCGCCGATGGCGTCGTCGAAGCACTACTCGTGTTGACACTAATTGTTGTGTTGAGCGCCGAGGAGTCACCGATTTTGCCGACCGTTAATTGCTGGCGATTCTCATTGAGCCGGTTGGCTAAAGTCAATGTAACCACCTATAGAACATAATACAAACTTGCATTAATTTATCGGTAATCACGGGTACGGCCATCAAAAAAAAAATGTTGGTCAACAACAACAACAACAAACCTGATCGTCGTCGTCCAATTGCACGGAACGTACGCCCAGCTCGCGTAGCGTATGGTCGCCACATCGGGCCAGTTGTCTTAGCCGATTGGCTGCGTCTCGAGGTATACGAAAAGTGACTGTCACGGTGTCCCACGGGTCCACTTTGGTCACGGGAAAAGGCATCATCATCTACGACAACATCGATAACAACACACACACTGACAGCCATTTGCTGAAACACTAGTTATCAAACACCGTACACATCTCTACATCACATTTATACAATATATTTAACTGTACTGTAAATGTATTAACAATAATGTGTTGTGTGTTGTGCTTCAAATTTGTGCTACTATTTTATATGTAGAGGTGTGTGTGTGTTTGTGTGTCGGGAACTGTTAGTACACACATACAAATTAAACAAACTAGTGTGACCAACTTTTTAAAAATTAAAAAATGTAAACCATATTTTGTGAGCAAACAACAAATACAATTTGAATTATGTTTGATTGTACTAACTAACTAAATAAATCACAATTTACTATAAAAACTACTTGCGCTAAAAAATGCTATTTAAATATTGAAAATTAACAATGCACATCTAAACTCGTTATTTTCAATTTTTATGTCAATGAAAGTGGTCATTGAAATATTAAGTTTACTTTTTTTTTGTCTATACTTTATTAAATCAATTATATATCAAATCATACCATTTTAAATACCAATTTAAAAATCTATTTTTATAATCAATAATTTTGTTATATTTTTATTGTAAACATTTTAGTTTTTTTAAAAAATAACTACCATTTTGTAACAAATCAACAAATTTATATGTTTTGTGTTTATATAATAAGTTAATTAAGTATTAAACTATTATACGTTTCATTAAATTTTTACGGAATTGAAATATAATAAACTGTTAACACTGACTGACTGTCAGTCATGTGCCTAACACTTGCTATTAGAGATTAGAATCAAACCAAATAAAACCAAAACTTTTAGTAACCAAACCGTTCACCAAAAAATAAAATTTAAAAAATAATTACTGTATTATTAAAACTGAATTAAATAATTTTTTTTTTAAAATTACATAATTTAAATTTAATTCTAAATTAAAAATTAAAAATTAAAAATTAAAAATTAAAAATTAAAAATTAAAAATTAAAAATTAAAATTAGTTTTTATATATCACATTATTTAGTCTTAATTGCATTTTTAATTTGTTATAATTTATTTGTTTTGTGTGTGCGTTTTATATATAAATTACAAAATAAAAATGGAAAACTTATTGTTTTTATTCAATTTTTTTTAAATAAAAAACAAACCATTATTTTAACTTAATAGAACCGCACCGTTATTTTAGATTCTACTCTATTGCCTATACACTGAACTAATAACGATATTATGACAAAACACTTTATCCTATGCTATGTATAGTGTTGTTGGCTAATCATGTTATCATATTAAAGATATTTTCCCACCATTTTAACAAAATAAAACAGTTTTTATTTTTTTTAATTTATTTACCAAATTGTAATGGAAAAAATATATGCTCAGATTTAGCACATTTTATAAATAATAATTTATATAAATTTAATTATTTAATAATTATTTAAATTTTATAAGTTAATAAAAAGTTTATAAATTTAATTATTTTGGGTAAACATTTGTTTGGGAGGGAAGATTCCCATTAGGAAATTTACATTTAAGGTATTACTTATTAGTATAGTGTCGTACTGTAGAATCATTGGGTAATAAAATGTTTATATAATAATATAAATAAATACTAAAAATTAAAGCAAACATTAGATGGCAACCAATACTTACTAATAATAATAATAATGTTTGTCCCAAATTGTACATGTACCTATATTCAATTATACCTTAAAGTAAGGTAGTACCTAATTTTACACACCCAAAAATTTAGCATGTACAATAATTGTTAATTATTAATTTAATGTTAGCAAATTAAAATGACTCTAGATCAATTTAGGGTAACTAAAACAATCAGGGTATACAATAGCGCATTAATAATTTCGACAATTTATTATTTTTTTTTTGAAAATTTATTAATAATGATAATAATCAATGATTTATAAAAAAAAATCAATAATTTACAATTTCTACTTAAAAAACAAATTATGTAATAATAATTACAGTATCTATTAATTTAATGTAATGAATAGTTTTATTTATTTTTATATAAACTCCTAAATGTGTTTAACAGGAGAGGCGTTATTACTTCCACCAGAACTACCTGTCCTTTCGTGCGAATGATGTCTATCCCGGTCTTTATCCTTATCTTTATCTTTGTCTTTATGTTTGTGTTTATGTTTTTCTTTGTGTTCCTTATGTTTATGTTTTTTCTTCTTCTTTTTCTTGTCTTTGTGCGGTTTTGACGTATGACCTCCACTGCCATCCTCTTTGTCTTTCTTGGATTTGTCCTTATCTTTCGATTCCTGGCCAGTGGTGGCCAATGAGGTGATATTAGTCAGAGACAATGTTGTAACAACTTTAGGCGCCACTACCGGTTGTTGTGGTGGTGATAGCTGTGGCTGAACCTGCTGTACAATCGGCTCTTCTGACGACACATCCATCTCTTCCGGTGCTTTCGGTTCTTCTTCATCCAACACCACATCGTTTCGTTCAACAATTGGTTGTTCTTCCTTTTGTTCTTCAGGAACGTCTTCTTCATCGTCTTTCGGCGATAATATACTTTCATCAATGATTTCAGAACTTCTTTCATGATTATCATGAATAAGTGATGTGTCGTTCATCTAATTAGAAAAAATAATACATAAAACAAGTCATTAGATAATGATTTATATAATAACACACGAAATAAGTTTAAAATTAATTACAATTTCATCAAAAGTTCTTTGCGTATTATTAGCAGTAGTAGTGGTGGACATCGATATATCATTGAATGAATCGTCCGGTTCTTTCATTACCGTATCTTCCATTTCAATATCTTTTTTCAATGTCTCCTTTTGTGGTTCTTGTGTCTAATGAAAATACAAAATGTAATTCAATTAGTCTTTAATATAACTGTCAATAAAAAAGACTTACCATAACTATATCGTCATCTGATACCAATGATGTACTAACTTTCTTCTCTTTAAGATTAAGAACAACTGAAAACTAAACAAAAAAAACAAAATATAAATCAAATTATTTTTAAACTTTTCATAAATTGATTTTTTTAATTAAAAAAAATTGCTTCAAATATGACAATAAAAAACATACTTCAGGTTTCGGCAAACAAGAAGGTCGTCCTCTTCCATAAAGAGTGTAATAGAGATCAACAACAGCGCACCGAAGTCTTGAATTGTACGATAATTGCGTATTCATTAGACGCCACAATCGATTGACCAGATTTTCGGTATTCAATATATTCGGTTGGTTTCGCTCGAATGGCGGATTTTTGACCAATTGTTTCAAAATAAATAATCTGATGTCACTAATGGATTCATTTTCGACTAAATCCAATAGAAAATCTAAGTCGTCTTTTCTCATTTCGGCTTTTGTTATGTCGATCAATGCTTTGAGGGCTGCTTTCCGGACATCGATAAACAAACCGCTGACGGCGTACTCCCTGAAGAACATTGAATTGCTGGGCAAATGACCCATTCGCTGAAGATGTCTAATTGCACGCAAACAACTAACGGAAACGGTATACTTATAACATGGCAATAGTTTTTCTAAATTCAGATAACGGGTTATCTCTTCTAATATCCATTTGGTTTCTGCAGACAAAGCGTCGGGTGTTATCTGTTTACCTGTCGGATCAATTACAGCCGTAACTATTGGTGTAACAGTTTCGCTAATGGCATCAATTAGTGAGGCTCTGTAATAGTTATCCGAGAATTTGTTTTTGCTATTATCGTTGTATTTGAGTAAATCTTTTAAGAATTTCAGTACTTCTTGTGGACAAATTCCGAGTATATTTCGCAGTCCAGCCATCGATAGCGTCATAGCTTTTTGTAGGAAATAATGTTGAAATTTTGAAAAGTTATTCAACTTTATAATGTGTGGACACGAATGAGATCCGAAAATCTTTCGAAATATTGTCAGCATAGCTGGTGGACCAGTCCAAGTACTGGCCATATTGTTGGCCACTTTTCTTAGACAGAGAGTTGCCGCACATCTGACTCTATAGAAGCACTGTTCGTTGTTTATAATATCTGTGAGTGCATTGCGTGTGTGAGGATTACTATATTTATCCAATATTCTGAGTGCATCTATTTGTGCCATAACATCCCTTTCATATCTTAACTGATATTGCCATTGATAGTCTGGCTGTTCCAGTACTACTTCGCGAAGCAATTGCATTTCCGGATCAATTCGTAGCCATAAAACTGGCGAATCCTGACTATAAAGTAATAGTAAAAATAGTAAACATCAAAGTTGTTGTCAATAAAACTAAAAAAATTCGGGGATCAGTAATAACTTACTCCATTCCAGACAAATCCATATCCACTTCTTCACCGGTACACAACGGTATCTTCTTTTTCTTGTTTCGTCTACTTTTTGAATGACAGGTCAGATCATGTTTGACATTGTTATCTTCAATTTGAACCGTGTATTTAAATGTTCCATCCAGTTCTTGGACAGTAACCAAAAGTGGTCCCTTAAAAAAAACAGGAAAAAAAATTTATCGGTAAATACCATAAACAACAACAATAACAACAAAAATTTCTTACCACATATCTCTTGATTCCTGTCGCCTGAGTGTCCATCTGTTTGATCTCGAATTCGATGGCATTTCTTTTGCGATTGAAAACAAATGACGAATGAAACTTTGCGTGACCGCCTTCATAGACCCATTGATTCAAAAAGGTATCGATATTTTTACCGGTAACAGTAGATATGGCCCAAACAAAACTATTTGTCGATATCATAAAATTAAACCAAACATTGGCCGAAAATTTTTGCGGTCCAGCATTGATGGCCAGCGACAAGAGTTTGTTGAAGACTTGTAGAAGTAGTTCGCGACCCAAATAGTTTTCAAGCATTCGGATAACTAAATAGCTTTTCTTTTTGTGTGCCTTATCATAGAGCGGTGATATCGTATGCAAGTGTTTAATGGCAAAGTAGAAGGCATTGGTTTCGTTTGTAGGCAATTGTGACGGATCTAATACAACGCCTCTGTATTTTTCTTCATATTTAATGATATCCTGCAAATGTTTTTGCAAATCAAATCGATATTCATTGTTACCGAAAGCTTTCTTATAGTACTGTGCGGACACAAACAGTGAAATACCGCGTGTAAGCCACGAGTCGGCCCACGATTGCATTGTTATGAAACAACCGAAAAATTGTTCGGCAATAGCGTGCGATAGTATACGACGGGATAGATATGTCTGATCGATGATATGTCTTGAATGTAATAGATTTGTCGAAAATATAGTCATCGTTGCGTACGACTGGGAGTTTTCGTAGGCTTCGTCGACAAACACTTGTTTATAGCAAGAGTATGGATAACGACTGGACAGTAGTTCTTCGTAGAACTCGAAAACTTCGTGAAGGAAGACACAAGTATCACGTAATAGTGGCAGTAGATGTGGTAAACAAAAATGTGTTACTTCGTGCATATATGGATCGACCATTATCTCGAACGGTCCGACAGCCAATGCAATGTTCGGCGCACAGGTAGGTGTCGACAGATTGTAGTGATAGGTCTTCTTTTTGTTATCCGCAGTGTAGACTGTTTCGACCAAATCGCCACACGAGACGGCAACCATGTTTAGGTCGACAGTAAAGTCCATTCTCCACGTACAGACTTCGCTGTAGGAATCGACACACGGAAACCATAGACGGTTAGAGTTTTCGTATCTATAGGTAAACATATGGGCACCTCTTTCGGCCAAACTTCCATCGCCTTGCGGTACAACAAACTGGACGCCTCCTTGTGGTCGTTCAACTGAAAACTCAATATGTAGTCTAATAACTGTACGCTCCTTAACGGCCGTAACAATTTCCGGTATATCGTCGGGTACTTCGATAATCAGTTCGCCATTTCCACGATCCGGATCCACACTCTGAGCTACTGTTAAGTGTGTACTCGAAAAGACGTCCAGATTTCGTTTGGTATCCGTTTGGATGATGTCTAGTGTGGGATCAGAGTATGTAAACAGACAGTCTTTGATAAGATTGTCGGCGTATAGGATTGAGACCCGATATATTCGTAATTGTTTGGCATTCACTTTGATCTTCTTGAGCTCATCTCTTTGGGAAACTAATTGCATTTCGACAAAACCCTAACCACAAAAAAAATTGACGGAAAAGAAGACATTGATATTAACAATCAATTTCTGGTCAAAATAGTTGTATAGTTTTAATACTTACGACATACGACTCCTTCTGGAAATTGATTTGAGTTATGCAAACATTTTGATGACTCCTGAAGACAGATAGTGAAGAGTTTTGTTTAGTTTTCGGGTTTTTTTTAAATATAAAAATAATTAATTGTCCGAAACTTACAGTTTAAAGTGTCGGCGACTTTCGGCTTTGTTCTCCCGTTTATTCATGATTACGGATTGGTGGTCGTGGTGTACGACAAAATCACAATATGATATCAACGGCCACCAATTGGGCCGTCAATAATGATCGGATCAATTGGTTGCAGACATAGGATATCTCTATCAGTCAATAATAATAATAATAACAATAAAAACAGTGAGAAAAGCATTCATAAAAAAATTTCAAACATTAAAGTCAATGAATATATCGATAGATGTCTCTAAACATACAATCAATTCATTCATTTAATACATTCAGTCAATGATTGCAAACACACATTGACTTCCCTTTCCTTTCCTTTTTGGTATGACTTCTGGTGTCTTCAAGTTGTTTGCAAACCATTTACCGATTCCGACTCAGCGCTGGTCTAAGAATAAGATTATTCTCGGCCGGAACGACTAATCTCTGAAAAAGACAACAATGGTATGTATGACTACTATTTGGTGATAAACGGATGTGTTTTACTAATTAACTTTGATTTTTTATTTGTGTATTTCATTTTGAAATCTTCGTCTCCAGACTTCGTACGCAAAGCCCGATCCCAACAAACCGGGTGTTGAAGACACTCAAGTCCAGATCCATCGCATCCGTATTACATTAACCAGTCCTAATGTCAAGAGCCTCGAGAAAGGTTTGTATCTGTTTTTTGTGGTATTTGTGGACTAAGTTACTAACGTTTGTTTGTTATGATGACAGTATGCGCCGAACTGATCAAAGGCGCCAAAGACAAGAAGCTTGAGGTTAAGGGACCGGTTAGGATGCCGACCAAGACGTTACGTATTACTACTCGTAAGACACCCTGCGGTGAGGGATCCAAGACATGGGATCGCTTTCAGATGCGTATCCATAAGCGTGTCATCGATTTGCGAAGCTCTTCGGAAACCGTCAAACAGGTGACCTCTATTAGCATCGATCCCGGCGTCGATGTTGAGGTTACTATTGCCGATCCATGAGATCATTGTTTGTATTCATAATATTATAATAAAACAGTTAACAAAACTGAAATTACTTTGAAAGACATGTCTTTATTATTTGATTCTTATAAATGATTTGGTATTTTATATATAATTATTTTTGTGTGATTTTATGGACGAAATCGATTGAGAAAAATATGTTATTAAAAACTAAATCTAATAATAAAACTTAATAACAATTGCAATGAAAAACAATATATAATTTTATATATTTGAAAAAAACCTTAAATAGAGATTCAAGATCTAAACTACCGGTAGATTAAAATATATCATAAAATATCCAACAAATTAATCATTCATACGATAAAAATAGGATTAAACTCATTAATTAAAAAAAAGTAACTTCGGATAAAATTGGTGATAAAGTTGGCCACAAAAAACAAGTGGCCATCAAGTCATCAGTTCGTGTTCGCCAACACTTTGGAACAGATATTCCTTATAAAGTGATTGTCTTCTGTTGAGAATCTTATTTTGGACCAAATCTTGCTTTTCGATCAAATATTTTCGATCCTTTCGGGGAAGTGTTGGACTAAATCGGGCGAACCATTTGGCTAACAATACAAAGATAACGACCAGTCCTAAGATAAGGACGAGTGCATGAAAATGGTACTCTTTAGGCACTATTGATGACAACGATGTTATCGGCGATATATAGCTGGCGATAGTGTTGGTTAAATCGGTTCCCAACAGCGGTTTCATAACGCTATTTGTTAGACCACTTTCAAATAAGTTGAGTATCAGTATGAGTGGCAAAATGCCGGCAAATAATCCCAAAGCAGACCTACGAAGTGTTGCCTTAAAATTGTTGCCTCTTCTTCGGTTATCGTCATCAAGTTTAGAGTCGATTAGTTGAACCAATTGTTCGCAATCTTTTTCCAATGTATTCAGTGTGTTCTGAATGGTATAATTGATTGTCTTTTCAATGTCTTGACAGACTTCTTGTATCTGATTGACACACTTGGAGTCTGGTTTGCCGTCGACCGGTACGTAAATGGTGGGCATCTCGAAGCCGGCTTTGTTAAGACCGGGCCGTTTGCATAACTCCTGAACGATTTGCATCAATACCTTCTGTCTGTCGCTTTCATGGCCCGCTTCGTCGGCTTTTGACAAATAAAACCGCATTCGATCGGTATGTCTGGCGTTCAGCTTCTCCACCAAATTCAATGTGCGCTTACATAATGCCTGTCCGATCGGATCGAAAAAGACGAATATCAGGTCAGCCAAATCGCCCAACCAAGCGATCGCTTTGTCGACATCGTAGGGATAGTGAACATCGCCGTCAACCAGACCGGGTGTATCGATAAACGTTACCAAATTGAACTTATTGGCCGCCGATGCCGATATCTCAGTGGACAGATATTGAATAACTCCGGGTATCTTCTCGAGTGTCTTGAAATGCGGATACAAATGAATGGTCGCCTTTCCGGTCAGCGATTCTCTACGTTTACCGCTCGTCACGAACGTGAAGCCCTGCGTTTCGATGGCTACACCTGTTTTCTGGACGTTGTCTTTGATATACCAATTGATAAACGAACTCTTGCCGGCCGAATGGTTGCCAATCAGTAGGACAATGATCTTCCGTCGGGGAGCCAACAGATGAAGTCCGAGTCGTTGTCCAATCGATATGAGTCCGCTGTCTTTATTGGCGTACAGACTGTGCAACTCTTGTAGTATCCGTTGGTTAACAGACAGATTTTCTCGTGGTTTACTGCCGTCTCCACCGCCACCGCCGCTATGATGGCCACCATCTTTGGTGTTGTTGTCGTCGTCGAGATTTGTCTTAGATTTGTTCGCTTTCGGCATCACTTATACTTCAGTATTGATTGATCTCTTTGTTTCTTATATTATAGTTATAAACAAATAAATAATTATTAATTTTTTTATATATAAATAAAATTATATTAAATGCAAACAATTATTTATATTAATTTATTAGATAATTATTATAATAGTTTAAAAACATATGATTTGAACTAAAAAAACAAAAAAAATTAAAAAATCATTTTTCAAATCATTTAAGTCTCTATCAGTTGACTGACAGACACTTATACACTGAAGTCAGCGATTTTGCTATACGTTTATACATGTAATAGATGTGTTAAACCATTGTATTGCGTGTGTGTTTTGAACCCAAACCGCGAATTTTCAAACAAACAAATAAATCTACTATTCTTTACATTAGTAATCAACAAAAAAAAATCTCTTCAAAAAACATTTTTAGTAAATTTTTTTATTTATATATAAATTATTTAGATATTAATTAAAGATATTATTTAGCAATTTTTTGTTGCAATGTTGTAATAATTATTTACATTTTTGATGACAATTTTAATACCGTAATGATTTTTTGTTGTTAAATATTTAGTATTAATGAATGATAAATTTAACATTATTTAATGACATTTAATAATAATGTAATATATTATATTGTACAGTATTATGCATATAAATGTAAATAAAATAAAAATTTTGTAATCGTACCTGATTATTTTAATCAAATATTGCCAATAATCAAATTGCAAATATTAAATATATATATATATATTATTACTTAGATATTATAATATTAATAATTGTAATAAATTACAATTGTATAATAAATAAAATTTACGGTAATTTAGTTAATATTTACACGAAATATTAGTATTAACAATTTTTTTTTAAATTTTATAATAAGGAAATAATTTTAATTAATTATAATTTTAACTTGACTTTTAATTTGAACACTAATTATTATTGCATTTGCAGTAAATATAATTAAAATGATTTTATATTATAATTATTTTTTATTATACAAATATTCAATTTTATTAAATTTTATCAATAAAAAAACATTTTAATTTAGTATAACTACTGTATAAGTAACAAGTGTTTTATTTAGTTAATTTTTGTTTTGTTTATTATAAAAACAATTAGCTATTTAATAAAATTAATAAATAAAAGCTATGTGTTTATCAAACATTGAGTGCCGTTCATTAAACTTTTTAAACATAAGTTAAACTATATTTTTAAAAATTTATATACATTATAAAATTTACCCGTATTAATGTATAGATACTACATGTACACTGATAATTCAATGTGTAATTCAATGTATAAAAAAAACTATTAAATTACTAAATAAATAAATTTTTTGAAACAACTTTTATAATATATAAAAATTAATTGAAATATTAAAAACTATTTTTTAGATTTGTTTTTCTGTGTCACCACTCGTTGTTGTTGCTGTTGTTTGTCACCAGTCTTTGAGATTTCTTTCTTACGATTGCTGAATGGATCCGATATTTTGCCATTAATTTTGTTGACAATACCGGACTTTTCTGGACTTTTAATCATTTTGTTGTCAATTTTTTTATCAATTTTTTTGTCGACAACTTTTGTGACAATCTTTTCTTTTTTAGTTTTAATATTAATTGATTGATCACTGAATGCTTTTTGTAAATACATATCCTCTTCACTGATGATATTGCGTTCAGAACCGTAATTATAAATGATTTTTATATTTTCGTTTACAATCTTTACATTACTTATCATTAAATGTATGAATTGTTCAATTAAATGGTGATCTTTATTAGTATTGCCAGCATTTTGATGAAGTGATTCACAGTATTCAGTCAACGATTCAATTGATACTTCTTTTGCCGGTTTGTTGTTATTGTTCTCGTCTTTGCTCTCAAAGCGGACACAAGACTTTGCCTTTACTTCCTGATGACTGATGTCTGAATAGAGATCACAAATGGCTTTAAAGTTGATCTCTTGGCGAATGATTGAAACGAATGCATCGATTGTCTCATTCAGGATCTTCTCTTCGGTTTTCAGATTCTCTTTAGTGGTATTCAAGCCTTCATTATACTTAACCAACTGGTCTTTCATTGTATTAAAATCTTCAATTACTGCAAGAATTGTCTCTTTATTAATGATTTTATAATGTTTTGTCAGCTCTTTTTCAATAGATTTATCATTGCTTTCAATTAAAATACATTTATTAATCAATTCTCTGATTTTATTTCTATTATCATCTGTGGTTATAAACTTCTTAAGACATCCTTCTATGTCTAAAATTGGAGTTACTTTTGTATCACTAGTTTTCTCCATAATTTTTATGAAAGAAAATGTTTGCTTTAACACATAAATTCAAATATTCAATTATTTTAATATCTAATAATTTTCTGTAAATTATTTAATAAATTATTTATAAATATTTGAAATTTTAAAAATTATCTCGCAATCTTTGAATAAATCAATAAATAATTATTATTATCCATTTTATATAAAAAACATTTACTAGAAATATAAATATTAGAAATTATAATAAAATATTTATATATGAAACGAGATAACAATAGTAAAAGAATATTCAAAAATTATAAAATTATTTTCAGTTAATAATAATTATAAAAAACAGACAAATCTTACAGAAAAGCGATTCAACAGACAAAATAAAAAGACCACAGATTTGAAAGAAAACCATCGAAGTTATGGAACACTATCAGAAAGCCTCCGATAAAGTCAAAGAATATGTGAAGAGTCACCATTTGGAAGAGCACTTTGTAGTCAATGCTATTGTATGCGATTATCAGTTTTTTGTTATCTGTTTCTTTCGTTGGCTTTTCTATGGCTACAAACAGTATAACTTTGTCTTCAAATTGGTTGTAATGCTTGTCTTGTGGTCACTGCTTGTAGCACTCGAGTGTCTACGCTATTCGGAACCGTTGCTCAAAACCCTCGGCCATTGGAAATCGGTTCAGACTGTTGCCCAACAGATTTTCGGATCCACTTCTGGCGGTTTCTCTGGTGGTTCTTCCGGTGGTTCTTCCGGTGGTACTTCAGGTAGTTCATTGGGTGGTTCATCGAGTGGTTCATCGAGTGGTTCATCGAGTGGTTCATCGAGTGGTTCATCGAGTGGTTCATCGAGTGGTGGTTCATCGGGTGGTTTTCCCGGCAGTAGTACGCCAAGAAGTTCATCACCCAAGACAAACACAAAAGCCTCTCCACCACCGCCACCACCTCCTCCGCCACCTCCACCGCCGCCTCCACCACCAAAGCCTCGCCTACCGCCGCCTCCACCACCAAAACCTCGCCAACCAATGCAACCAAAACCAAAGTCAAAATCGTAAAAAATATGCCAGAATTATAATCTGAAGATGTTTTTTATGTTGTTGTTGTAAATCAGATATAAAACAAAATAAAAAACTCATTTATTTATTCTAAAATAAAAATTTAATCAATTGTTTTTTGTTGATAATTATTTTTATTTTATTATTTAATTTTCAACAATTAATGGACAAAAATCAATTGATATAAAATATGGATTTTATAAATTTAAACGTAAATATACAGTAAATAATATAAGTCTAGAATTATTTAATAAGTTATATCATAGTTTCAGTTATGTTTGAAATTCAGTTAAGTTTGAATCAGTCATTGAAATAAATAAAATTAAAATTAATGATTAACGAAGACTTTTATGCATATATTTTGTTATTTTTGTTGATTGTTTTGGTGATTATAATTTTGACGACATGTGTGGTCTATACTTACTTTAGTCAAGAGATTGTGGATATGTTTGGGAATATTTGTCTGTGTTTTAAATGTAAGAAAACTGATAATAATCTGATAAAACATAACAACAAAGACATTGAAGCAAATAGTCGTCAGTATAGACATCATCTAAGACACGATAAAAACGACAAACATTTGAGAAAAGAATATACTGTAAGAAGTTGTCAACAACTGATGACTAATGAACCGGTGACCATAAGAAGCGATGACTTGTCAACAACTGGGGATCAATTGGACGAACAGAATAAAGATATTTGTGTTATGAAGAAGAAGAAGAAGAAAGAGCCGGAAAAGAGAGATAAACAGAAAAAACAATCAGAAAAAGTGGCGCCAATTGGCAGAAGAGATAATAGACAACTGCCTGACAAAAGAGTTAAGTCGACGACAATTAATATATCACCGAAAAAATCGATGAAAAAGTTATCGAAAAAGAAAATGAAAAAAAGATCTAAAGTAAAGTCAAAGAACAGATCGTTGTCTTCATCTTCATCTTCATCGTCGGACAATACAATATTTATGGATCAATTGAAATACGGACACATCAAGTCATTGGAAACGTTAAACATGGGAACCCAATTCGGACCACCGGCTGATCCCAAACAAAGTAATATAAACATTGCGCCGAAGAAAGTCCAGACCGAAGAGTTTGTTCCCGGAGTTGGTCTCCGAAGTACTATACCTTCGCCGACCAAAAAGTAATTGATTCACATATTTATAATATTGTATTGTTTATTGTATTAATAATAAAAATCAATATATAATTATTTTTTTTAATATCCAACAATTTTCAACAGTAATTTTACTTTAATTTCTATAAATTTCTATATTTCTATATAAAAAAATTATAAATTAATAATTACAATTAAGTGTTGTTATTTTTTTTATACAATTTATATATTTTCTAACTACTAAAAACATTGATGTTTAAAAATATATTGTATTATACTTTTATTGATATGTATAAATTTATATGATGAAAATTTATTGATATATACTGTAGCACATAATATTACTACTATTATAGTAGTATTATTGAAAATTAATATATTAAATGAATACAAAATTATTTTAATTGATCACTAAATTAAATATTATTTAATTATAAATTAATATAACTTTAATTTAATATGTAAATTTTATAAAAAAAATTATTATAACTTGCAAGTCATTATTTGTAAATATGTATTATAATAAATTAATAATTATATAATAATATTTATAAATATAAACTTTATAATGTAAACTATACACAGTTTAGTAAAATATATTATAAATTAAAATATTATTTTCAATTAAGTGATGCAATGCAGTGAAGTGTCATTTTGGAGAAACTTGTAGAAACATCTAGAATTGTTTAATACATACTGTAGTAATCATAGTATGATAACAATATACTGTTTATTGCACCGACACATGCGTAACCTACCTGTGCTCTTACAGCTCAGCTATGTTAGTGCAAAAGTTTTAAACTAAATGCACTTATCTGTTGCATCACTTGCACTGTTTATTACTATATGTATCAGTCATATAGAAATCATTACACAGCAGTTTTGTAGCAAACTATATAAGCACTGGTAGTTTGCTTACAGTTCTCATTCATTGGGAAAATCTTATACTTTTCACTAACAGTTAACTATCAAGTCTTGAATAACTAACTAACTATTGGAAAGTTATTTCAAATAAAAGTTTTTTTTTAATTGTTTTGTGAAATTTGATTGAATCGCAACAATAAAGTAATGGCTTTCTTGGAGTTATTGTTACCACAACTGATTAGAGGCGGTGGCGCCGGTGGACAGGCGTTCAATACGCTTATGGATCAGGACTGGAATCATTGGAAACTACAGATGCAATCGTGGATGGAGGACGTCAATGAACAAAGAGCTACCGGTGCTACAGCTGCTGGTAATTGTGGCCAACGATGTGGCGCTGAGAGCACTGGTGATGGACAAGGATTGGATGCACTGTTGGGTATGTGGTCACAGTTTGCTGGAGCCGCGGCCAACAATCAGCCGTCAAACAGCCGCCAATCAGCGGGTGGACAGTCGTCGTCGTCATCGGATCTGGTGAAGAACGACTCGCGAAAATTGGTCATCAAACTGGACGTCCAACACTTTGAGGCACAGGAACTGTCGGTAAAGATTGTGGACAACCATATTGTGGTCACTGGCGAACATTCCGAGCGTACCGATCGTCTGAGTCAAGTGAGTCGTCGCTTTCAGCGTCGTTATCCGCTTGACGATGACGTAGAAGTCGACACTGTTGTGTCCACTTTGACCGCAGACAAAGTGCTTATTGTCGAAGCACTGAAAAAGCCGACCGACGACAGACCAGATACCGGTAACCATATTGTCATACCGGTTATCCGCGAGGGTAACACTGATAGCACCACAGCCAGTGGTGGTCAACAATCAGCTGGTGATGACCAAAATGATCACCAAATGGATTGAAAAGTTGTTTTAATTCTGATTTTTTCTTTGATTTCAAGTTTTTTAAAAAATATTTACTACTTTTATGATATTATTATTTTTTATTTATTTTATTTGAGTATAGTTTATATTATAATTCATAAACTATGTTTTAAATCTATTTTACTGTAGTTATAACTTAAATAAATAAAATATATTTATAATAAACTACTACTAAATTAATATAATTTTCAAATAGCAAATAATTGTTGCAATAATAGAGAAATTTTACTTAATATACAGATATAAAGTATTTACAGTACTTTAATACCGTATATAAACAATTTAAAAATCAATTTATATAAAATACTGTAGTTATCACTTAAATATTCAATAATAATATAATTTATATATATTTTAAAAATATAATAATAATTATTAATGATTATTGTTATTATCTTTATCTTCTTCTTCTACAACTTCTTCATTATTTTCATTGTGGTCTTCAATACCGTAGATGTCATTGATTTCCATATTCATTGACAATCTTTTCTTTATTTTTTCAATTTCTTCCAATTTTTTACGTCTGAAGAATCCATACTTTATTATTATTTATTTAATAAATAATAATTATATTAATTTAATTAGATATTAATTTCTGTTTGTGTATATACTGTATCAGCACTTACTTTAATCAAAACAATTGTAGTTATTATTAATACGATTATACCGATGATACCGGAGCTTAAAATAATAATCCACGGCTTAATTCCTTGATCTTTGATGGGCTCATGTCTTGCCATATAAACGGTAGTAATTGTCGACGAAATGATTGGTTGGGTTTTATATTTGATTAGATTTTCGGTAACTTTCAGATGAGTTATGATTTTCAAAGTGATATCTTCGAAGTCCAGATGTCTAGTCTGGTCCGGTATAAGTGATAGCGACAGTAATTGTCTAACCGGTTCACTATAATAGCCTGAATTGAAATCTGGTAAACGACACGAAAATGTTGAACACTTGTTGATCTCGAAATCATTTTCGCAATTCTGTAAAATTATATTAAATTAATGTTTATTTAATAGATATTAATTAAACCAAACAAAAACAAAAAATAATTTTAAAATCAACTATTAATTACCAAATCAAGTGTTTTATTAACAATTGGAAACTCTGTATGATTTTGTGCTGCAAATAATAGATCACATTTGATGCGAGAATACTAAAAAAAATTATTATAATTTTTATGTTTAAAAAAATTAATAATAAATAATACTACAGTATATGATAAATGTTTTTTTTGTTGGAAATTAATGTACAAACAAATAAATAATTTCTATACTTTGCTGGGAACTATGATATTGTGTGGCAATTGTAGTTCAATAAATACATCCGTTACAGGACTGGGACCCGATTTTATCAAATTATAGGACACGTGAAATATCTCCTGCCGTGTATTATCTGAAATTGAAAACCCGTCCACTGGATCACTGGATATAACAATTCAATAATAAATTATTTCATATCAATTAGTTTACAAAGCATTTTTTTAATTATTATTTACTGTAACTGTTTAACATATAAATTAATATAATATCAAATTAAATACCTAAATATTGTCAAATTTGAATCTCTTATGATCTGTAAACTGATTGAATCGGTTAGTCTACTGTTTGTAATATCAATATTACTGCTACTATTGAGTTGAAAATCAATTTTGATAATATCGTTGGTCTTAATCTCGGACACAATAAAAGGTAGATTCAGACGAACGGATCGACCTTTTTGTAGTATAAGAGTGACATCACATTTATAGATAGAGATGTCCTCAATGGCCCTACAATTGTAATAGTCTTCGGCATTAGTCGTGAACTTTAACAAATTTGATGAAATTTTTATGATTAAAAATGTATTGAAAGAAAAATCTCCGGCATTGACAACAATGACTTCGATATCAATGGTATTGTGTAGTCCATCAATAAGATTGGTATGAATCGGTTGACCCTTATATTTGGCAACGGATGTCATTGTTAATTGAGACAAACATTGTTTTGTTTGACATCCGTGTTCAAAGTCAATCTAGTTGTGTGTGTGTTTGAAATGCAAAAATATATTAAATTATATTAAATTGTCACCAAAAACATAGTTTGATTGATGTCAATAGGTCTTACATAATCATACACTGAATGTATGTCAGCGATGGGACAGTCTTTACAAAATTTAGTGGTCATCTCATTCTCGATGTCGACTGTTATCTTAAATTCAATTGGTGTCAAAATATCGTCCAAATTTTCAGGATTCTAGAGTTTTTTTTTGTATGTGTGTGTTATTGATAACCAAATAAATATATCAATATATTGAAAACTAAATGATAATTGTTGTCTTCAAAACTTACATTAAGTATTATCTGACTATTGAAACATTGATCTCTATTGGCTTTCAATTTATTATTTTTTATCTGTAATTTTGTTGTTTTAGTTTTGTCAAAAAATGCTCTCAATTTTTGCACTTTTCTATCGGTTATTTCAATAGTGATTAAAATTATTGGATAATCTCTAATAAATTTTCCCATATATTGAACACAATAATAAATTTTGAAGCAAAAATTTTGTCTGTTATTACAATTTATTTCATCGATTTTAATTTTTTTCGGTTCAAAACTTATATTTGTTATATTTAATGTAGCACTTGGTTTAGTCCTATTTATTTATAGTATGGATATTATAATTTAGTTAAGTTAATGATTTAATTAGATATATGATACAAAAATAAATAGTTACCTTAAAAGTATAGCATTTTCCGATAAATAAGAGCCAACGAGTATATCATTATAACCGTTGTCATCAAAATCACTATTACTTAAAATACTTATACCGAAGCCTTGTATGACATTTGAAAACATTTCCGATCCTATTCTCTAAATAAATAATAATTTTTTTAATTTTATATTTTTATAACTGATCAAACTAATTATACAAAATAATCATATTAGGTAATAAATAATATAATATATCTTAAATTACTTGTAGATTTGTTGTATCCAAACCATTAGCTGATCCAAAATAAATATAGACAGCACCCATATTATTATTATCATTTTGTTCATATGGTGCGCCAACTATTAAATCTACAGTAAATAAAATATACAATAATAATAATAATTTTCAATTGTTATCAAAATTTATACGACAAACAAAAATCAATTATAGATAATATCAATATACCTTTAAAGCCATCAATATTGACATCACTGGACGATAGAGCTGTTCCAAAACGACCGCCAATTTTGTGTCCGTAAATGATTTTTTGATTCAAAAATTTTTTCTTCTATTTGTTTTTTTGTGTAAAAAAATATTGATTAATAAAAAAAAAGTTATATAAATCTTTTAGATTTGGATCAATTGATTACCTTATCATCTCTCGAATAGATATAAATTCTTCCGATTTCTCTTTGATTTGGTTGCGAGTATAGCGGCGCTCCTACTATAAGCTCATCCCTGGTATCGCCATTGATATCAAGAGCCACAAGAGTGGCTGCAAAGTATTCTCCCAGTCCTTTGTCCAGTGTTTCACTCGACACTTCCCAAAAGTTATTGGACGGCAGGACATTAGTGGTCGCTTTTATTGGATATATTAAAACCTATAGAGTCATCAGTAATTAAAGCAATAATACACAACACGACAGCAATTATTATACATTAAACATTACCTTTCCATTAAAATTATCATTTCTTGGAGCACCTATAGCTAAGTATTGTTGTTGTTGTCCATCAAAATAACCGATGGTCAGTGAGTAACCCAAATAGCTATTAATTGTCAATGTTTTCGGATTAAGTACACTAATTGCTAAGTTATAATCTATAACAACATTTCCGATAAAATTCATAAAACCGGGAGCACCAAAATATAACTGTAGTTTTATTATAATTATTATAAACACAATATTAATAAAATAAATAATAATAATTATTATTATTATAAGTTTACAAACTTGTTGTCGTTGTCGATAATGATTAGTGACTGCAACCGATAAACCCTTCATCATATGACTGTAATATGGTTTACCGTCATCGGTAGTCACCTGATCACCATTTATCCGATATGATAAGCTTTCGTGATTCTGTGTTTTCGGATCAATACGATAGCACCGGCCAACTGGTAAATTACGATCAACATTGTTTTCAAATATATACTTACGTTCCCATAGATGAGCACAACCAACAAACTGGTCACCAATTGATGCCAAAGATGAGCCCAAATTCATGTTATCGGTCATCGCGGCTGTAGTTATATTGAGAAAAAAATATAAAATAATACAACAATTGATTAGCTGTCGTTCCCATTGTATTGTCAATAAAGAAAACAATTAATAAAAAATTAACACTACTTTTGCTAAAATCAATTTCATTGCATTCAATACTATCTTTATTTGTCATGTCTTTTATTTTCCAATTGCATTGAAACAATGCCCCGATTTTTATTGAGTTACCGCTAAGTGTTTTTGATTGATATTTAGGCGCTCCTATCATAACACTTATCCAAAATCGATATTATTATTATTATATTTATAAAAAAAAAATATTTATTTATTATTTAATTTTTTAAATACATTAATCAGAGAAAAAAATATTTTGTAATTAAATTAAATTTCTTACTAATTGTTACCATTTTGTTGAATAGCACTCAAACTATATCCAAAATATGATCCATAAATACCTTGGTTATTATTTAATACTAATTTATTCTTTGGTGTGAATATTATTGGAAATTTTGTGTCAATATTATTATTATTTTGACAAATTACTATTGAAATTAATATCAATATAAATAAATTGATTGATATGATATTAAAATACATATTTACAAATAATAAAACTATAATTTACTTATGATTCATAAGTTATGAACATTTAATAAAATGATTTCAAAAAATTTTGCTTTTATTTTCAAAAATGGTTATAAAAATTTCCGTTCAATTTCAGTGCTAAAAGTTTTATTATTTCCTATTTTAAAACATTATATTTATGGTAATAATTAAATTACTAATTAGTATAAAATTGTAAAGATTTGTTGTTTGCCAATAAATTAATTAAAAGTTATTTTTTCATCAACAAAATTTTTATTTTAATATCCAGTTATTGACTTAAATTAAAAGTATTAGTAAATTATATTACTTTAAATAACATTTTATTTGTATATTTTTTGCTGAATTTAATAAAAGATAAATTCAACAAAAAACAAAAAAATACTAAATCATTAAACAAAACAAAAAAAATCAATAACTAATTGCTAATAAAAAAAATCACACAAACTATTTGATCGATTAGTTTAGTTGACATTCACTGAACACTTATTAATAATGTCTTAAATTTTTGTTTTAAATTACTTTTTATTGCTATTAATAGCTAATCCTGTGGCCGACGCTATAACTCTGGAGCCTTTGGGCTTCGAGTCCATTGAGGATGACTTGACTTTTGAATTCATTGATGAACCGGCCTGTGATCCCGACACAGATGAGCCGCCGGCCTGAGATCCCGATACAGATGAGCCGCCGACCTGAGATCCCGATACAGAGGAACCGGCATTTGACGAACCCATACCGCTAACCGATGAACCAGATGTAGAACTACCAGCCGATGATGAGCCGAAAGCTGATGAACCCGCTTGCGATGCTCCCATACCAGAGACAGTAGAGCCGCCGGCATCTGACGAACCCATACCTGATACTGATGAACCACCAGCTTTGGAACCACCTGCTTTAGAACCACCGGTACCACTGACTGACGAACCGGCAGTTGACACACCCGATGGTTTGGCCATAAATTTCGAACCCATCTTTTCGTCGACTTTGGACTTATTCTGACTGGCTTTAGATTCAATGGCCGAACCAGTTTGTGACGGTCCCTGTCCTCCAGCTGCTTTAGATCCCGGAGCCGAACTTTCAGGTTCGGGACCATCGGTTGGTTCTTCTTCCTCTTTCTTACCACAACAACCGCCCATATCTTTACCTTATCTTTAATTCAATATTTCAACTGTCAATCAAAAACAAACTATTGATTTACTAATTAATAGTTTAGCAACTAATTAATAATTGTTCCTCAAATAAGATTTTATAATTGATTTTTGTATTCAACTATTTTTAAAAAAAAATATTTAATACATTTGAGTTGCGATTTACTAATTTATTTTGTTTTTCCAAATTTTTCTAGTGAATCAATTATAAACAATATTATTTTTTTTTATTACAGCGCGCGATTAATTATTATTAGTTTTTTTATATCAATATATCAATGATTTAAAAATTCAAATTTATAATTGTAATATAAACTGTTAAAAAAACTGTAGTTTTTATTGAATTACAAATTTATTGAACATTGAATTCTGGACTTTTAAGCACTGGTATACACACCACATACATGTTAGACAATTCAATAGTCGTATTTAAGGAGCCCTGGCTGTCATTTCTACCACTGTCTTGGATGATAACAATCTTCCTAATCAATGTCCTGTTGACACTCTGGCTTTACTATGGATCTAATCCGACAAACGAATTGCCACAAATGTCCGATAAGTGTAGGAATCAGCCTAAACACCAGTACTTGATTACACTGGCCTATAGTAAACTGTGCGTCAAATTTTCAAAGTCGACAACTTTTAGTTTTTCGCTATACAACCGTAACAAACGTTTTATTACCCGATTTTCGACAACACCGAAGATGTTGATACGTAACTGTTATTTCGTTAGCAAAGATCTCAAAGCCATAAGATTTATACTGAATAAAGACAGACCACTAATGGGTATACATTATGTACGGATCAATCATAGTTCATATACTGCAGAAGCAGTCATAGAATTTCTTGAGATCAGAGATATGATGACATCTAATGGCTTGAGAGCTGAAGTAAAAAAATCGATAAAATCGATAATAATGACGACAATGTTGGACAAAGATCACCAATTGTTCCCAATGGTCAAGTGTACCGATAAGATTAATATTGTAGATCTGATGCCGGCCCCAGTAATGCATTGGTTTGAATATATAGTATTTCTATTATTGACACTCTATATGATTCCGTTCCTCATGGGGTTAATCAATATATGTCCAGACAAACCATATATTCAATTGTCGTTTACTAATCACACGTGTCTTCATAGAGAACACTTGTGTTGGATAACAATTGGTGTCACAATTTCTGTATCAGTTATTCTAACAATTGGTTTATTATTTATCTACTATTTGTTAGCAAAGTATTACTATAAACGTATTGTCAACAGACGAACCTGGCTTTTCATCCGATATGTCATCATCGGTACTATTGTTATCGGATCCATAATCATGGCAGCCATGGTATCGGTACATAAATATCATGTGGACAGCATTGACGACAGTTTACAACCGTATTGCCGGTGCATTACAATCGCTTATTTGACTGTTTTGCTCTTCAGTTTGTTTGTAGGACTGGTAGTAGTTATCTATCGGTTAGTTTGTTATCGCAAAACCAGACCAAATGAAAAACGATTTTATTCAGAAAATTTCGGACACTTTTTAAAACAGGAAAGCAATCTTATTACAGATGTATCGGTTATTATGGGCAGAGAGACCATCAGCAGTGATACACAGACTTTGAAGAGTTCAATGTTGTCTTCATCGTCAACAAGTCGTCAACAATCATCGTCAGCCAAGTCTAATGTCTCCAGAGTTTGATCCGAAAGATCCATAAATTGTTTTTTTTGTGTTGTTGTTTACGACAAAACTTTGTTTTTTTTAATTATATTAATTCTAAACTGTATAATACTGTAAACATGTATCATAAATAAGGATTATTATTATTATTATTAATTTTTTTCGAGTAATTAATTATCTATAGTTTTTTAACCAAAAAAATAAAATAAATAAATATTATTTTTCATAAAGATTTTATTAATATATTGTCAAAAAAAATTATGATTATCATTAAAATCTGATTTATTAAAAATAAAGTGTTTAATAATTATAAGCGCACGACAATTATTTGCTGATAATAATTAAATTTAATTTAAATTTTAAACAAAAATAATAACAATTGGAATAACAGGAATATCTAAATATTATTTTCAAAAAAAAGTATATAATGTATAGCATAAGTCTTGTTACAGTTAAAAAAAACACAAATTAATAAAATTTTATTATTGGTTTGATTATAATTTTTTTGTTTGTATATAAACTAGTTAGTCCCCGTAAATAACTTAATAAATACTACTATTACTTTTACTATTAACTATTATTATTTATTAATTAGTAGTAGTTATAGTAGTTATAGTAGTTATAGTAGTTATAGTAGTTATAGTAGTTATAGTAGTTATAGTAGTTATAGTAGTTATAGTAGTTATAGTAGTTATAGTAGTTTAGTAGTTATAGTAGTTATAGTAGTTATAGTAGTTATAGTAGTTATAGTAGTTATAGTAGTTATAGTAGTTATAGTAGTTATAGTAGTTATAGTAGTTATAGTAGTTATAGTAGTTATAGTAGTTATAGTAGTTATAGTAGTTATAGTAGTTATAGTAGTTATAGTAGTTATAGTAGTTATAGTAGTTATAGTAGTTTAGTAGTTATAGTAGTTATAGTAGTTATAGTAGTTATAGTAGTTATAGTAGTTATAGTAGTTATAGTAGTTATAGTAGTTTAGTAGTTATAGTAGTTATAGTAGTTATAGTAGTTTAGTAGTTATAGTAGTTATAGTATTTTATGAATGAATGTATTTTCAATCAATCACTGCTCTCACATAACATTCGACACTATATCTATAGTATGCGTTGTCTCTACAATTTGATTGACAGCATCAACGCATACGATAGCTATAGTGTCGAATGTTATGTGAGAGCAGTGATTGATTGAAAATACATTCCATTTTATAAAAAAATATTTTCATTTAAATAAAAATAATTAATTAATATTAATATTATAGTAGTAGTAGTARTAGTAGTARTAGTAGYARTAKTAGTAATATGAGTARTAGTAGTAGTAGTAGTAGTAGTAGTAGTAGTAGTAGTAGTAGTAGTAGTAGTAGTAGTAGTAGTAGTAGTAGCAGCAGTAGTAGCAGTAGTAGTAGTAGCAGTAGTAGTAGCAGCAGCAGTAGTAGTAGTAGTAGTAGTAGTAGCAGCAGTAGTAGTAGTAGTAGTAGTAGTAGTAGTAGTAGTAGTAGTAGTAGTAGTAGTAGTAGTAGTAGTAGTAGTAGTAGTAGTAGTAGTAGTAGTAGTAGTAGTAGTAGCAGCAGCAGCAGCAGCAGCAGCAGCAGCAGTAGCAGCAGCAGTAGTAGTAGCAGTAGTAGTAGCAGTAGTAGTAGTAGTAGTAGTAGTAGTAGTAGTAGTAGTAGTAGTAGTAGTAGTAGTAGTAGTAGTAGTAGTAGTAGTAGTAGTAGTAGTAGTAGTAGTAGTAGTAGTAGTAGTAGTAGTAGTAGTAGTAGTAGTAGTAGTAGTAGTAGTAGTAGTAGTAGTAGTAGTAGTAGTAGTAGTAGTAGTAGTAGTAGTAGTAGTAAAAATAGTAGTAGTAGTAGTAAAAATAGTAGTAGTAGTCGTAAAATGTATTTCTTTTTTGATTTATTTATAGTGGCCCTGAAAAGGGCCGTTTGGGGCTCTTATAAGAGCCGTTTTATGACTTTTTAGTCAAATTTGTGTTTTTTAACACAAAACTTGCGGGAAAGTGGCCCTTTTTTAATTAATCGGCCACAGCCGACACAATTGGTGGTAATGGTTGTAACACAACCATTACAAAGCTTAACTTCACAGTCTAAGCATTTGTATAGGACTGTGAAGGAGTGGAGTCGGCATTCATAACACTGTGTATTGTAAGGAAAATTTTTTATTTTAGTGTATGAAGACATGTTAACAGTACGAAAGCAATACACAAAATGAATAAAAAAAATAAATTCTATTGTATTAAAAGAGTTGTATTCTAATGAGTGACGTCATGCTACAGTTTAGTACTATTCATAAATACTGTTATAGTAATAGTAATAGTCAATAGTTATAGTAGTTATAGTAGTTATAGTAGTTATAGTAATTATAGTAGTTATAGTAGTTATAGTAGTTATAGTAGTTATAGTAGTCATAGTAGTTATAGTAGTTATAGTAGTTATAGTAGTTATAGTAGTTATAGTAGTTATAGTAGTTATAGTAGTTATAGTAGTTATATAGTTATAGTAATTATAGTAGTTATAGTAGTTATAGTAGTTATAGTAGTCATAGTAGTTATAGTAGTTATAGTAGTTATAGTAGTTATAGTAGTTATAGTAGTTATAGTAGTTATAGTAGTTATAGTAGTTATAGTAGTTATAGTAGTTATAGTAGTTATAGTAGTTATAGTAGTTATAGTAGTTATAGTAGTTATAGTAGTTATAGTAGTTATAGTAGTTATAGTAGTTATAGTAGTTATAGTAGTTATAGTAGTTATAGTAGTTATAGTAGTTATAGTAATTATAGTAGTTATAGTAGTTATAGTAGTTATAGTAGTCATAGTAGTTATAGTAGTTATAGTAGTTATAGTAGTTATAGTAGTTATAGTAGTTATAGTAGTTATAGTAGTTATAGTAGTTATAGTAGTTATAGTAGTTATAGTAGTTATAGTAGTTATAGTAGTTATAGTAGTTATAGTAGTTATAGTAGTTATAGTAGTTATAGTAGTTATAGTAGTTATAGTAGTTATAGTAGTTATAGTAGTTATAGTAATTATAGTAGTTATAGTAGTTATAGTAGTTATAGTAGTCATAGTAGTTATAGTAGTTATAGTAGTTATAGTAGTTATAGTAGTTATAGTAGTTATAGTAGTTATAGTAGTTATAGTAGTTATAGTAGTTATAGTAGTTATAGTAGTTATAGTAGTTATAGTAGTTATAGTAGTTATAGTAGTTATAGTAGTTATAGTAGTTATAGTAGTTATAGTAGTTATAGTAGTTATAGTAGTTATAGTAGTTATAGTAGTTATAGTAGTTATAGTAGTTCTACGTGTTCAATAATATAATTTAAATGTTTTTTTTTCTTTACACGTGCAACAATAAATAAAATTAAAAAACTAACTGTTTAATTAACAATACTTTTTATTTAACCGTTATTTTAATTTTAATAATTTTTAATTGTTGTAACGCGCAAAAGTGTGACAGAKATATATATATATATATATAAATATATAAACATTTCCAAATTATATAGTAGTATAGATACAGAATATTATTATTATTATTAAACAATTATTAATTTTATAGAAACATTTGAACTAATTTTTAAAAAAAATACTAATTAGTGACTTAGTTATTAATATTTAGTTATCATAAAATCAGTTAATTGAACTATTGATGAAAATAAAATTTAAAAATAAAATAAAATAAATATACTCTAATAGTTTATTGTAAAAATAAAAATTTATTTTTAATAACATATTTAAGCATAAAGACATAATTATTAATTATCATTGATTTTTCACCCTACGCCTCCCCCCCACCCAAAGGGAGTATATAAAATAAATATATTTATATATTGAAATACAATTTAGGACATCAAACATGTAATATAAATTATAATACTTTCCCTCTTATATATGATACAGTATATTGTATACTACAGACAGCAATGTTGTTATAGTATTGCATAATACTGTATAATATTGTGTTGTGTTTTAATTTAAGTGTTTTGTAAAATGCAATAAAACTTTTTTTTTTATTATTATTCATTCAAACAACAAACAAAAAAAATAGTTATTGAAATATTTCTGATTTAAATTTAATAAATAATTATTATATAGTAGTTTAGTTTTAGTCATATTAGTTGTTTATATATTAAGTGTTGACAATAATTGTTTTGAACAAACATTTTATTGTAAAAATATTTACAAAAATAATAGTATTAATTACATAACATAAATATAATAATCAACACAATGTTAGCAACAATAAGACCAACACTAATGAGACAATTATTGCTATCTAAACGGTATACGATGTCAGGCATCGGTAGGTCAGTCAACACCAGTGACCAACATCGCCGATGTTTGCATTGGTTGGCCGACACTCTGGATATCGATAAGTTTTGCAATGATTTCATTGAACATAGAGATGGATATCGTAAACGTAATGTCAAAAATCATTTATAATTTATTCAATGATAAGATTCATTGAAATATCATTTAAAAAATAATTATTATATGTTTTTTAAGGATTTGATTTTGATTTACTGAACACACGTTACGTAACTGAAGAAACCATTTGTGCACTTCAACTGCGGACCAGTTGTTGTCCATTAAATGAGACTAAACTGTTTGCAAACAACCGATCGCTGACACCACCCGACGGTAGACTTATAAAAGCATTTTTATAACTATAATTAGTTTATTATATTTATATTTTTAAAAATAATAATAATTACAAAATTGAAAACATTTGCTAATATATTGTCAATATTTGTATAACAATTTATATTTTTTTTAATAGACGAGTCAGTCATCAATAAAGATGGCCAGATTCGAGTACAGGTGCCGAAGCCTCATAACTTTGGCGGCCAATTATGTTTGCCTAATTCTCAGGATATCAAGTCATTTGTTAATATGGTTGTCTTAATGGTCATAACTAAGTACGGCTTTTACAAACAATTTGATTATCAATTACGAAGAGTGACGGACTGGGATATCAAGAATGAGAACAAAGACAATGAAAACAACCAATGGTTCAGTTATATCGGCACCCGATTTAAGGTATTACCCGATAAGCGACTATTTATGGCATTTCATATAACAAACATCGACGGAGATATTGTTGAAGCTATCGATGATAAATCAGTGCAGAAGTTGGCGACCGTTCGCACAGATTTCAAGCCAATTGACTGTCCGAAGAATATCGAGAAACCGATTAAACTGTTTCAGCAACACGTGTGTCAACTAATGGCACAACTCGTATGTTTGGCTGACAATAACGTGTCGTATAATTTTGACAACGATTCACTGTACGGACTGTTAGTACGCGACACATACTTTCATTTTTACGAGACTGATATTCACCACAAGTATATCGAAGACATCAGAGAAGAGTACCATAAAAAAGGCATTGAATTGCCGATTGTTAAACACATGACCGATGGAGTAGCTCTTAACTATGATGACCATAACGATCGGCAATTGATTGAATTGATTTTGTTTACTATATTAAACAATGAAAAGAACAGACAATCAATGGATAAACATTGACCACCGATGACGGACACGGATTTTGGAACAACAATATTAATGTTGTCATAATTATGATCTCAACTTTACCACAATATATAACTCGTATTATAATAATTATGTAAAAATTGATTTTATATAAATTATACATTATTTATATTCATCTATAATAAATGCTACATTAAAAATTTAATTTATATTTAATTTATGACAATAATTTTTTTAATGCAATTTATGAATCACTTTTTTAAAAAAAATATTATTTAACGATACTTTATTTTTGATAATTTTTACGGTTGAACTCTACTGTATTTTACGGCAACACATTTTGTTATTTTTAATATTGGATTTTTATGATAAATAATTAACTTAATTAGGATTTTATTCAATTTATTAATTAACCAGAGATTTAAATTAGTTTATTAAGATTTTTTTGTTGTTTAGTTAGGTTATTATAAAATTATAATACCGTCCCTAATATTGGTACAGTAAATATGTGGTAGTATTGCATAAGATTTATATTATATATGAATATATTAAATGTTTAAATTGAAATATTTGATTGTTTTTTCAAATGCTATTTTTAAAAAATCAAAAAGTTTTTTTTGACATATGATTTATATGATTTAAGTATTTTGAAACTATAGGGTGTCATAAATTTATTATTATTATTATATATGACATATGAAAATATATTTTGATAATAATTGTTTTGAACATTTATAGGTATTATAATATACCTGTAATAATAATATAGCAATTAGTACAATGTTAGCGACAGTGAGACCAACACTAATGAGACAATTATTGCAACCAAAGCGGTACACAATGTCTGGTATCGGTAGGTCTGTCAACACCAATGACCACAACCGTCGGTGTTTGCATTGGTTGGCCGACACTCTGGATATCGATAAGTTTTGCAATGATTTCAATAAACATAGAGATGGATATCTTAAACGTAATGTCAAAATCATTTGATTCAAATGATAAGATTAGTTGAGATATCATATAAAAAATTATTATATGTTTTTTAGGCTTTGATTTTGATTTATTGAACACACGTTACGTAACTGATGAAACTATTTGGTATCTTAATATACTGACCACTTGTTGTCCACTAAATGAGTCCAAATTGTTTGCAAACAACCGATCGCTGAAACCACCCAACGGTACACTATTTTTATTTAAAAAAAAAAAACATTTTAACTATCATTTTTTTCAAGTAATTATAATCATTATAACTACAATTATATAATATACAGATATACGGATTTACGGATAATAAATATTTTTTACTATTATTTTTTTTTATAATATAAATATGATATCAATTTATAGACTGTATAATGTATTTATCATATATATTATGATAATTTTATATTATAATAGCTAACAATTGAAGTTACTTTTGTTAACTACTATAGACGAGTGGCAAATCATTACGGACGACGAGTCCAGTTTGATACGAGTGCCGAAACCTCATTACTTTTGTGGCCAATTATGTCAACCAAGTTGTTGGGAAGTCGAGTTATTTGTCTATAATTTGGTCAATTTCTTCAGATTTAAGTACGGCTTTGGAGACCATTTTAAATATTTATTAGGAGAAGAGTCGGACTGGAATATCAAAAATACTAACCGTTACGAACGGTTCCGTTATATTGGCAACCGATTGAAGGCATTACCCGATAAGCGACTATTTATGGCAATTCATGAGACAAACACCGACGGAGATATTGTCGAAGGTTTAGATGATAAATCGCTACAGAAGTTGGCGACCGTTCGCACAGATTTCAAACCAATTGACTGTCCGGAGAATATCGAGAAACCCATTAAACTGTTTCAGCAACACGTGTGTCAACTACTGGCACAACTCGTATGTTTGGCCGATAATAACGTGTCGTATAATTTTGCCAACGATTCCCTTTACGGACTGTTAGTACGCGACTCATATTTTCACTTTTACGAGACAGATGTTACTCACAAGTATATCGAAGACGTCAAAAATGAAGACATTAGTGAAGACCTTGTTGTTAAACATATGACCGATGGAATTGGGCTTAACTATGATGACCATAACGATCGGCAATTGATTCAATTGATTTTGTTTACCATATTTAACAATGAAAAGAATAGAATCAATGGATAAACATTGACCACCGATGACAGACATTAACTATAGACACCAAATAATTTGTTGTCATTATTATGATCTCAACTTTAACTCAATATTTCTCGTACAGTATTATAATTATGGAAAATATTGATTTCATATATCTTATACACTAAATATCATATTATATATACTATTTACAATTTCAGGTGCTATTGCTATTCATAACTTATTATCGCTAAATTATATAATCTATTATTCCTATAATGAATATTACTCTACATTAAATATATAGTATATATACATTTATATACATATATATACCGGTATATATATTTCTTTAAATAAATTTAATCATTAAATTTAATAAACAGATTCAAACAACAATTATCAATCATTGTATATAATCTGGTTTTTTTAACTCACAGATCTGTATTTTACGGTAAATAACTAATTACCGTAATTGAGAATATTTTTTAAAAACAATTACCGATACGTTTAGAACTTTTGTAGATTGTCTTTGATTTCTTCATCTATATTGACCTGACATACATGTGTTTCGTGTGGTAACAGACCTCTTCGCGGACAAAATATATGATTCAACGAATAGTGACACAGATTGGTCAGCGACGACATATAGATGTCGGAGTAACGGAACAGACGACGGGAAAAGTATGTCGGATTGTGATGCGTCCGGAATATACTACCGAACTGTGGATTGAACAGTGCTTTAGATCGGGCTCTGGAAATGTTTGGATCAAATCATTAGTTGTTTACAGACACTAATCATCATATCATACCTCATAATATCTCTTTGTTGGATCAGTTCGTCCAATAAAATACTGTCATTTGTTTTGTGCGATTCGTCGATCAATAGCTGCAATGCTTGCAATGTACTAACAGTTTCTCTGAACTCTTGTGTATTAAATGTCTGGATCTCTCTCTGGAAATGAATTATACAAACAACGAAAAAAATTATTATCAATTATCGCTTTATAGACATTATTCAGTATAAATTGTTGGTATACTTCTAGCTCAGCAATGATGGCACCTGTTCTCCAGCCATGATTGAGCGTAATATCTGCTAAATCGTTATAGATTTGGTCACCAAAATAGAGAATTGTATTGCCTTTCCAACCGGTCATCTCAAGCATATGATGAACAGTTCCTTCCATATAGATTTGTCCCTTTTCTAGTGCTGATACCTTTCCCCATAGTTGACAATCATTGTTCATATCGTAGAGTCTGAATGGTCTGTATTATTAAATTTATATTTTATTTATTTATTATAATTTACGGTAATATTAAAAACATAATTTTTGATACTATTATTATTAAACAAATTATATCCTAATGTATATCAAATTATATATTTTTAAAAAAAAAACCTCACTTGTGTTTCAAATTGAAGAACTTAGGTTTGCCAGCCTGAACAATTATCACATCAAACAATTGAATCCAATCGTTGCCAATCATATACTTCATACCACAATCACTAAAAAACATAATAATTTAATTATAAGTTAAATACAGATTTTTATGAAAATTATTTTTAAAAAAATGTCAATTTTGTTGTTATTATTACACAAATTTAAACGGACTGTTTGTAATGAGAAACATCTTTTTCTTATTTTCTTTGAGTCGATTCAGAAAAGTGATGAGCGAGTCATGTCTTTCCAGATACTGACCGATCATCTGGTCGTTAAGCATCTTATGGATTACCGGATGAATACTCTGTACTGCATTCTGTGGTAACGAAAACAAAATATATTGTATTGTTTTTTACTGGTAAAAGACTTTATAGTTTATCACCTGAACATCATTAAAGATAATCTCCGGATGGTATGTGATATTGTTTTTGATGAAATAGTCGGTAACTTTAGAGAGCAAACATATTTCAGGTACACTGAAGAGATCGTTCAATTGTTTCATTCGTATTTGCTGTTTATTTAATCAATAGATAAAATCAAATTAGATCTGCAATTAGAGTATGTCTTATGAAACAATATACCTCTCCTTCTGTGGATCTGATGATCTTTCGGGGAACATAACTGCCTAATCAAATGGATATTAGATCAATCAATCAATTATCTATTTACCGGTAATTATCCACAAAGAAAAACAACTCAAATCAAACAAATCATAACCATTATAAATGCTGAGAACTTCTTCATCGTCGACAGGTGTCAATCCTTTGTAGACACTTCCCAATTGGATCAAATGAAACGAATCGATTTTCATTAGTAATCCCTTTAAATATATATCAAAACATCTATTATATGTCACCAAATGGATCAATAGGATTATCACTTATAGCTACTAATGACTTACATGCTCGACATCGTAATGCAGACCACGGATAGCAAAGTCCGGTATATAATCCAATTGACTGATATCTTTCGGGTACTTTTGGGAGGTATTTGGTGTTAGCCCGAGATATCACACAATTATATATCGGGGATTTAATCGATCGGTCGGTCAAAAAAAGACACTTACTTTGTATTTATCAATCAAAACATTTCGTCCCAAATCGTAGATCAGATAATTAAGCGACTCTTTATAGACGGCTAGTGTATAGTCGTAGTCAAAACCGTAGACCTGGATGTCGGACAGGTCGAGCTCGTTGTTGGCAAAAACATAGTGATCGGCTACACGACTGGTCGAGTGGGTCACTGGTGGTCAACAAATGGGACAAAAAAACAAAAATTAATGTAATTTTTTTGTTATTTATCTGTCAAAAGATAATCCTTTAAAAACCTTTAAACTGTGTCTTATATTTGTCTGTAAGATCTGATAGTTGAACCATCGCTGCTGAAGATGATGAATGATGTCTCGTTTGAATACAATTACCGGTAAATCCATTATTATTAATGGTTTGACTGACAGCTGATGATTGTTGTTGAATAACATAACAATTATTAACTAATATTAAATTATTTATATTGTGTTTACATTTAACATAATTGACTAATAATTGTCTAATAAAACTATAAGATCTACAGTGAAGTGCCATTAAATGATTGGTCAATAAATTAGTTGTTATTTTATATAATAAATAAATAAATTTAATAATAATTTTTATATTCAAAATTCAATTTACAATTTCTATGTTTTCAATATTTATCAATAAATTTTTTTATACAAATTTCTAACACTTTAATAGAGTAAACATTGCATTGCATAACACATATAACAGTGTAAAGTACTGTACAGTTACTACACATATATAACGTTTCAAAATAAGTATTAGGTTTTTATAATTAATCAAAATTTTATAATAAATATTTTAATGATTTTTTTGTTAATATCAAATATTTGCAAACTTTTTAATTCATAACAACAAACAAACAAAATGTTAAATATTTATTAGAAAATTAAGAAATTTGTCCAAAAGTTTTATAACAACAGCGCTGAAAGTAAAGCCAACGATTAGGTCGACTACGAAACTATGGCCACCATTGACGCCACCGATAACACTGACCGATCGGTTGCCAGAAGTAGATGAAGTGGACATACATTTGTCAACATTTGATCCCATTTGTCAATCAATAGGGTTACAGAAGTTTATGTTGTTTTTAAAAAAAATAATTTTAACACAAAGTTTTTCAATACTTTTATTTGAAGTATTTGTGTCTCAAATAACGTTATATAAAACTAACTGTAAGTTTGATTTAAAAAATTGTGTTTTTTTTAGTTTTCAGTTAATTTTGTATTAAATTTATTGATCGCGTGATATCTAAATGTTAACTAAAAATAATAATAATTTTTATATAAAATATTTATCTAAAACTTTCATTTTTATCATTCATTCATTTATTATCACCTTTTATTAAACAATACAATTGAATATAACTTATAATACGGTCCCTCACATGTGTACTGTATATAACAGTATTATTATTATGTAATGCAATGTTTTGATATATTTTTAACACAATTTAAAAATGCATTTTTGTTTAAACAAAAAACATTCGAAATACTAATTGATATTCGATTTAATCCACAATTAGTTTCTAATAATAATTAGTATTATTATCACTAAAAATGTTGATATTATTGAAGTGATTACTATTTATTGATCACATGTTTGTAAACAAAACTATTGTTTTTTTTTTGTAAATACTTTGTTTGGTTTTGATTATCCATTCAATCAGTCAATGTTTTGGACACAAATTATCATAAAATTATAGACAATTTTTTTGTGGTCAATAAATAACTACTAAATCGTTAAAATTATTTAAACAAAYATTTTGTAAAATWTATATAATATAATATAAATTAATATAATATGAATGTAATGTTAACTACAATGAGACCAACGATAACACTCAGACGGCAATTATTGTTATCAATGCGGCACTCATTGTCCGGCACCGGGAGGCCAGTCATCAAAAACAATGATGACCGCCGTTGTATGCATTGGTTGGCACATACACTGGATATCAATAAGTTTAGGGATGACTTCAATAACAATAAATATGATAATCTTGAAAGTAATGGTATTAATGATATAATATTTTCATTTCAAATAACTCATTCATATATTAATTATTATAATTTATTTTTCTAATAGATTTTGATTACAATTTATTAAACACGCGTTACGTGACTGAAGAAACCATTCGTGAACTTCGTGTGAGGACTACTTGTTGTCCATTAAATGAGTCGAAACTGTTTGCTAACAATCCATCACTTGTAGTACCCATAGGTATAAACAAAACAAACAAATAGTCATTAATTTTTAGTTTATTTCTCAACAAATAATTTTAATCATTTATTTTATCTCTTTTTTAAAAAAATTATAATAAGTCTCAAAACATATACAGTTCATAGTTTAGTATAACTAGTATTAATAATAAACTATTAAAACTTGATTTCATATAACATATTATTTTAATTCAAGTTTTAAACATTTTCTTCAGTTTATTTAGTTTTCAAATTATAATATTTCTTATCATAAAACTATATAATCATATAACCAATGAAATGCATTAATTTTTTTGACATTTAATTTAAAATAAATAAATAAGTTTTAGATAATACAACAAATCATACATTTTTAATGTTTATTGTTTATTAAATTAAATTGTTTTGCATTTTATTTTATATTTAAAAACATTTTTAAATATTTAATTATTTTAATGTAATGGCGATTAATAATGTAATTTACAATTCTGTTCGTCATTTTGTATCAAAAATTAATGACTCAATCAGTAAAATATCATTTACTCAAGTGATTGATAGTTACAAATTGATACCAAAATCTGTTGGTATTAATCAACACTTTAGCCATAATTTGGTATCAATTGGTTTGTTTGAATACAATTTGTTTGTCATTTATTACTTTTTCTTTTATTAACAAATTTTGTGTTTTTTAAGAATCCGTCTTAAAGTCATTAAATAACTTTGACATGAATTTGCCGTCAACTTTGGTCATCCAAATGTCTGAAATGCCGCTCAAAGAAGCGGATGTGAAATGTTTTGTGTTTAAAGTGTTTGATGAACTCATGAAATACAACGATTATAACAAGCATTTTGTCTTACGTCCTGAAGTGAGACTTCGATGGAATCAATTCGAGTCAAAGAATAAACAGTTAATGAAGTTTACAAAGAAAACAAAAGGCTTTGTTTGTATACCCGATGGTGTCTTAATGACTATCAAGAAGAAGAGTAGGCTTTTTATGGCTTTAGAGATCAAACATTGCGATGAATTGATTGAACAAAGTGTCGAAAATACATCGATTCTTAAGTTCGAAACATTATATGAGACTAATTGTCAGTCAAAAGGCGGAAATTTTGATGCAAATGTCGGACAACTTTTACAACAAATGATTTTTATGTCCGACAGAAATGTCTCATACAATGAGCCAACAGATAGTCTCTATGGTCTGCTTATTCGGAATCAATATTTTCATTTTTTTCAGACCGATGTTACCATTAATTATATAAATGGTGTCAGAAAACAGAATATTAGCGAAGACTTAATTGTAAATCATTTGACTGATGGCTTAGCCCTTGACTTCAAACACACCGACCGCTTAACTATTATACAGATATTGATGTCTATTATGAATAATGAAAAGAATAGAATCGATTAAATGTTTTTTATTGTCGTTGTTGTTGATGACTCTGACCACACATTTTCATCTGACCATTAAATAAGACATCAATTAATTATTTTTATTATTTAATATTTTTTTTGACTATCAATAGTCATAACATTTGACATTTATATGAATTAACATATTTTTTATGCAATTTTTATTGTTGTTCTCAATTTGTTTTTACATAAACAGTATTATTATTATTATTATTAGTGAATATATCATTGAATTTTTGTATTAAACGGTTAATTAATTGTTATGATTGGGGACTTAACCTCATATTTGGACTCATATTTGTTGATAGTATGTTCAGCGCTCCAGTATCTCAAAGACACTGTTGAACAACATTTATGATTTTCCATTAGACTATCGGCGTGTTTGCTGTGCTCCTACACACATATAGACACCCCAGTAATATATAATACAGTATATAAGTAATCAATATTTTAATAGTAACTAATTATTATTGTTATATATAGATTTTATATATAGAGTTGGACAGTTAGATAACAGACATACGATGCGCTCTTTTGCCGGCCAATCCCTTTTCTGTTGGATTATCGTATACCTGTCCAAACTATTTAGTAATATAGAGACGAAACACACACACACACAGACATAATTAATTAATTTTTAAATCATAAATTATTAGACATATGTTTTTGATATAATGATAATTATATGATATGTGGGGAATGGGTTAATACTAACTGACAGTCCAATTTGCATCTATCGTTGCACTGTTTTTCGTGTTCAGTAAAACAGAACTTAAACCACGAATCGTTGGCTTTCTTAGCAATGGCTTCTTTGGAGATCAATTGGGGACCAGTATTCCAATCACACCATTTCATACTGTTTTCAATGGCTTCAACGGCCGAACCCTTGAGAAATGGCAGTTCCGGTGGCCAACAGTTGCACTTATCCATCGTATTCTGTGCCATACAACCGATAATACAGTTTTCTCTGGACAGCGGATGATTCAGATATTCATTGTGATCATCACTTTGCGATTGGTTTTCCGGCATTAGATAATAGTCGATACAATCGGTAGCGAACGGCTTCGGTAGCAATTGATCCGATTGTTTCAATATAAAAAACTCGTAGTAATAACCGGGATATATGTAAAAGTTTTTCTCGCGAATCGGTGGCAATTGGTTTTCGTCGTGGACTATAAAATGGCCAAACACTTCGTCGTTGAGTGTAGTGTATTCACCGGCGCTGAAGTTGATCTTCAGCCGCAATATTTCGTTCGGATGAAAGGGCTGATCGGCCAGTTCGAGATCAACGGCTTCGCCGTGACCTCTGATTACCGGCGACTGTGATAAACCCGATTGGATGGCCATATCTTTTAGATAATCTGATGAATTAGATTTGTGAAACAGTGTCCAACAGTTACCTTAATATAGAAGCGATAAAATCAATCATTAAAACTGTATAACAAGTGTAACAATATATATATATAATTTAAAGTAATATATCATTGCTTACCAACTTCTTGACCAGTCGTCAAAATATCGGCATATTTTCTATGATTTTAATGATTTATAGTTTTTAGAGAAAAACCAATTTTTATTAAATTACTTAAATAAAAAAAACATTTTTTTTTGTTTCCAACAAATACCTGCATTTATCGTCCAAATGAAACGAATCGGTAGCGCATCGGAAATATTCGGGAACCAAAAATTCATCGACGGTGTGACCCAACTTCATAAAGTCATTTACTGTCAATGTGTTCAACAGTGCTCTGATGGTGTCGTCGACAATCTGTTGCTTATCCTAAGAAAATAAATTATTATATTATAAAAAAATATCATTAAATAATTT